AAATATATTAATAAGAAGTTTAATATATATAATAAAGTTATACTTTATATAAAGAATATTTAATAGCTATAACCTAATATAAAGCTAGTAAATAGATATCTTGGCTTTTTTAAAGTTCTAGAAATTATAAAAATATATAAATAAATATATTATTTAAAATTATTACTATTATATTAGATTTATAATATTTTTTATATTTCTTTCTTAGAATTATAATACTCGCAAGCTAGTACTATAATAGAACTAGAACTAGTTAAGATTAAGGGTAAAAAAGAATTCGAGATAGAATCTATTATAGTTTATAAGAAAAGTAAAAAAGAAAGAAAATATCTTATTTATTAGAAAAGCTATTTACTAGTAAATAATATATAGGAATTACTAAGTAATCTAGAGAATATAGCTTAAGAATTATAAGAATATTTAGAAAAGAGTAATATTATAATACTATTAGCTAAATAAAAATATAAAAGATAAATACTTTTATTAGGAAACTATTAAAAACTATATATTTATTCTTAAAAAAACTATATAAAAATTATTAAAAACTTTAAAAATTCTAATTTTTATATTTTATAAATATCCTATTTTTATAACTATTTTCTATTATTCTTATTATTATTCTTATTAGGATTCTCTCGAGAAATAAATAGTAAATTAGCCTATAAAGTTATTAGTTATTAGTAAGAAATAAGGAAAAAGTAAGTTTATTTAATATTAAAGAATATTAATTATATTATTAAGAATACTTTATATTTATATTAAGCTAATAAGAATTACTTAATCTATTTCTTAGATTATTAGAGGAATTCGTTAGCCTCGAATAATAGCTTTAATATAAGAAATATATATTATTTAATATAGAAAAAAAGTAATAATAGCCTTCTTTTTTTTAGATAAAAAATAGGAAAGATACTTATATATATTAATAGCTTAAAAAAGGCGGTTTAATTATATTATATATATTTAAGGAACCTTAAATAATATTAGAATAGGAAATAAATAAAGGAAATTATAACTTATAAAATTATATTTCTTATTTTTAGAATAATAATAATTATATACCGAGTAATTATTATTCTTAATATAAATAAGGTCGGGAAACTTAGTAATATTCTTGGAATATTAAAAGTAGTAAGAATAAATTAAGGATATAGAAGTATTAGCTAAATAGATAGTAATAGGCTAATAAATACTAAGAGAAGTATTTATCTTAATAGATAAGAAATAAAAGAGGAAATTAGAAAAGAACTTAAATAAAGCTTAAATAAAGTTTAAAGAAGCTTAAAGAAGCTTAAAAAAGGCTTAAAGAAAGAAGGCAAGGGACAAGGAAAAGCTAGGTATAGTGTTATAATTAAGGAAAGGAAAGATTAGTTAGTAGGAAAAAAAAGGCCTTTTTATAATACTTTTTTCCTAAATAGTAATTATGAATTCGGAACCGGCTTTATACTAGGAATACCTAGAAAATTCTAAAGAAGAGATTTATAAATAAACTAGAAAATCGGATTAACTTTTCCAAGTTCTTAGGCCTATAGAATAATAATTTATTTATAAATAGAGGCTAAGTTAGAATTTATAAACTAATTAGAAGACCAGAAAAGCTTCCTGTCTAATAATATATATTATTTTTATATTATTTTTATAAGAGAGAATTACTAAAGGTAATTTACAAATTAGCTAGGCAGGATTAATAAACTATATTCTCAAGTCTATTACCTGGTATAATAATAGGGTAATTATGGGAAGTCTTTAGAGAGAACTAATAGCTAGAAAGGTTTTAGGGAATTATTTATAAAGCTATTTATAGTTCTTTTAGGCCTCTTGGGAATAAGAGCCCAGAGGAAAAGTTAATATAATAGATATATATAATAGTATATAAATAAGTATTAGATATTATAGATCTAGTTTCCTATTTTAGGTAAAGCTTATAATTAGAATTATATAAGTAATTGAAATTATATAAATTATATAGGATTATATTTCCTAGTTAAATAAAGTACTTTATAGGCTTGGCTAAATACTAGGGAATATATAGGGAGACGCTCCTAGCTTTAGAAAGGAGTATTAATTAGTCTTTTATTAGAATTAGTTATACTTGCAAGTATTACTCTATAGTTTACTTACCTTAACTACTTATATATTACCCTGCTATTACATGCCTTATACCCTTATATATTACCTAATTATATTACTATTTTGTCTATAAAAAATTATATTTTTCTAATCTCTAAAACTCTAATACTCGTATTTCAAATACTAGTCTAGCCTCTCTTTTTTACTAAACTTATTTAAACCAGGCTTTAATATTAGTTTATACTAGGAATAGCTAGCTACTATAAGAACTTTCTAAACTATCCGGAAGGCAATCTTATAATCTCTTTTCCTTACTTTTTTTATAATAATAATATAGGAGAAACCACGAGTAGTCGAATTTTAAAGTACTATTTGCAAGATATACTTGATTATAATAGGCAAGATTACTCGCCTACTAGAACGAGGTTAATTAAGTATATGAGAGATTTCCAGAGGTATATTCTTATACTCTCTCTATCTATACTACCTAGTAAGGCTTGCAAGCTTATAAATACGAGTTCTGGATACTCCTATAGCTTTCTTAATATTACCTGCAGATCGTCTTTGCTCAAGCATATAAATAGCCTTGATTCTAGTACTAGTGAAATGCTCTTTGCATATAATATCGGGTATAGTAAAAGCTATGGAAATAGCTATAGAAGGACAAAAAGGGAGGGTAAGGCTTGGTATAATCGAATTATTGTCTTTATCTTCTGAATCAGATAGTAAATTATACTAGGCATCCTCTTTATCTTCAGTAGCTACGCTGCAGGCTAATTCGTCTGAATCAGAGGAATTAGGAGGAGAGGAGAGCTCTGATTAGTTATCTGATAAATCAGGGAAGTCAAACAAACCACTAAAGGTAGCCATAATTACTAGCTTCAAATGGGAAAGTGAGAGTGAAGAAGAGAGTGAAGAAGAGAGTGAGTAAAGAGCTTGGGGAGGGGTGAGAAGGGGGGTAAAGCTCACTTTACCCCGCTACTGATTGCGGACGCACGCCTAAAATACAGGGGCTAAGGGCCCTATCAAAGCCTGTGGCTTAATATAACCTCCCAATCGGGCTATATTATGTTTCAGGGAGCTTTCAGGGGCCTTACGCCTCTATTGGAAGGTAATTACGGGGCTTACAGGGCTCGCTGAGACACTGCAGGCCCTATTAGTGGCCCTATAATTATGCATGCACCTGTAATCCCGTCACTTTATGCCCCGTTCTCCGTAACTTGCCAAAAGTCCGAATAAATAATAACCAGTGGAGAAACTTCCACACCGCCCGGTGATTAGGAAGCGAGAGGCGATGTTTGCATCTCTAGAACTACAGACACTCTACGCGTTGTTGCGGGCATAGTTGCAAAACTAGGCCCCAGTGGTCCCCTCTAAAACATAAATCGCTCCATTTCCCCGAACGCTAAGAAACCCGCATTCGTATTAGGGTTTAGCCACCGCATTGTTAGTGCTGGCCCTGTCGAGGTGTACGTTTGTATAAACCGCTGTGCTAACGAGCTTCTGGCTTGAATAGTACCGTGAGCGGAAGGGAGAGGGTCCGGTTTTGTTGAGGGCCCTCTCGCTGAGGGGAGTGCGCATCTATCCTTGGAGAGTCATTTCGACGTAATACACTCCATCGATAGCACCTGGAGGCATCATGAAGCCCACAGCCCAGGCAGTGAAGAAGACGAACGACTTGAGAAGCATGATGAGGTGCGCGATTACTTTTTCGTTCTGCGACTGGCTAAGTACGAGAGATCTGGTTGAGAAAAAGTGTCGATTAGGAGAGTTTGCCACGGAAATCCGCTCCCTTTTGTCTTGCGATATGTCGGTGGTCATATGCAAGTCGCGCGGATATGTCTACGAGAAGGAAAGGCAAACCTGGAGCATTCTACCAACGACGAGCCAGCAAGTCATCACATGGTAATCAGATACCAAGGCTGAAAGAAGATTCGGGCAGGGAGCTAACAAATCAGCGAAACGGACTGGCAGAACAGGTTAGTAGTGTTCTCAGATTTGGCCTCTGGACTCTTGTATGCACAAATGCATATGCACGGGTGGGGGGATGTAGCGCACTTGACCTTGCGAGGTGAGAGCCTCCGCACAAACAAGTCCAATCGTAACCGAATATCTGTTTTGCTCGAAATGAGCTAGCTTTGTCGCTTTGGCTGAACTTCGTGGAGGTCGTGAACCTACTATCTTGCGAGGAGGGAGTCTGGCTGCAATTCTGGGACGGTCCTCGCTATTGAGCTCACCGTGGCACTTGCAGTCCTTCTGAGCATCATTTTTGTTTTGGCTGTAATGAATATGGGTTATCTGGTAAGGGTTTTGATTTGGTGTTCCTTCCTCTCCGGTAGGTTCTTCTGTCCAGCTTTGATCATTTCTAGCGTAATTCATTTATTGCTTTTGGGTTGGCAAGTGCGGGCTATCGTAAATGATGCGGAGCCCATAAAAGAAAGCGTCGGAGAGTATCGGACTACAAGACCTGGAAACAACTGCCGACCAGGTTCCGCTATAGTTTGTAACTAATTTCCTGGCAGACGTTGTCTAGATTTGACTTCTACCGGTTTTGCTCTATTTAGGGAAGAGAATTTGTATTTTGCCGGTTGGTTCTAGACATGTTTGTACTAGCTACGAAGGTCTTCTTTTCCGGAGCTATTTTATGTGTGCCGCAATGCCTCTCTTCAAGTGTTGTACTTCTAAATTCTATGGCAATATTAACCTTGTTCGGTTGTAAACACTCTAACCAAGAGAGTTCTCAAATTCACTGGACTGGATAGTGATCAAGTGATCACACATGGAATGGAGTTAGAGTATATCATAAATTGAACGAAGAATGCCGTTCTAGATTCTATATCCAACGCCAAAGAACATGCCATATGTACAATCTCATCCCTTCATACCGACCCCTCAGTTGGCTCCATTCCATTTAGAATCGCCCTCAAAACCTAGAACCCACTCGGCACAGCACCACTCGGCACAGCACCACTAGGCATCGCCCCCGAAGGCGCCGATCCACCTCCACCACTCCCCCCAACGCTATTACTCGTCTCATGCCCTCCATCCGCCTGTAGCACCGCCGCAACCTGATAATAATCATCATCGCTGTAATCCGCCGTGACATTAACACCCACTTGAATCCAAGCCAGCAATCCATCCTCGATACTCTCTCCCAGATACACGAACTCCGGGAACGGGTCGTAGTCGTTCTCGGCTTGCACGATGGACCACATGTCTTCCGCGTTGGAGGTGACGGCTTGCGTGTTAGTGGAATAGGGGTACGTAGCTTCGACTGCTGAACGCAAGGTTTCGGGCCAGAAGAGTTGCCCGATGTGTGTCACGGCGCCGCCTTGCATTGTTGAATTTGCTAACAGGGTTACGTTGTCGTGGACTAGCAAGTGAGTGTGGATTGCGCGACCCTCGTAATGGCCTGGGAAGATCGTCTCGAAAGCCACGACCCCGTCATCGTCTGTTGACTGAATGCCGCGAAGGAAAGTAGAATCCCAGCCCCCGTCTGCAACGTTGCCGGTTACGTTGATACCACTATACACTCCGGTGGCATTACAATTCCAGATATCGACGTAGAGAGAAGGGACACCAAGACAAGTGTTGATGTCTAGGTACTGCACTTCGAGATACAGCGGGATACCGGCTTGTCCTTCGGTGACGTTTTTGCGGATTAACTCACCGGTGACGTAATACGGACCATCGGTTACTTCGGGAGTGAGGATGCAGGAGGTGTTGGCGGAGAAGATGGTGGTATCGCTGCTGCCGACAGTGTAGTCGACGAGTCCTGTCTCATTGTGGTCTACTGCTTCGTAGGTCTCGAGGGTTGCGAGGTCGCGGCGGTATTTTTGTGGCTCTGTTTACTATCAGCAAAAACTTCAAGAGACTGTTCAAGGCCGGAAGGTTGCTTACTTGACTTTATACCCCGGGCGTTGCGGATCGAATGAAGCGTCTCCGCGCGTCGGGCAATGGATCGAGCGTTCAACTCTCGGTGCTTGAGAGAGCTGGAGCAGGAATCGATGGAACGCTTAGCAGCGGAAGCCATCTGGTTGCGGGCCACGATCTCGCGCTTGATGGCGGCAAGGTCGTGGTGTTCTCCTGGATGGGCGATGGTGGTGGAGGCCAGGCAGGCTGCTGCCACGGCTGTGGCTAACTTGGAGAAGTGGACCATGATGAAATATCAGTAAGAGCTTTTGTAAAGAATGCAAAAGGCGAGTTAAAAGAGCACAGAAAAGAGAAAAGAGTGAAGATGAGGTGAGGATGTACCACTAGCAGAGAGTGGAAAGTATACTTATACATCGACCATCTCTTCATCTTTCTCTCTAAGTCTGCATTCGCCCAAAGCCTTCGTCACCACCCCTAATCCCGCCTCCTCCCATTTCCGCAGTTTCGAAACATCTCACCTGGAATTGGTCCCTTGATGCCAAGGTCCGTTTTCCCCATCCTTATCACTCAGCCTCGCCATCATTCAGAACTCCACAACTCCACATCCTGCAGCTATTTCCATCCATCAGACGAAAACGCATCAAACCATTAACCAATAAGAACCAGTGCTTTGGCAAATGAGGCAGGCGAAACAACGAATCTTATGGACTAGACGCGCACTGGCGATGTGGTCCCGATCTTGGCAGGTGCAAGTTTTCTCCTGCCAAGAAGGACGTTGAGCAGCAGCTGTCAGAGTGGAGGCTGAGAGGCTGCGAAAACGCCTTGCCATTGGCGGGCTCATCTGGTCCTCGTAAGCATAAATGCTTGATATGAGTGTGGGGAGGCAAAACTAATCAGAGGACGCGAAGTTATGCCGCGTAATGGCGTCGTTTCAAAATGTTCGTGTCCAGATCACGTGAAGTAACCTCAACAACATCCAATCAGATGACTTGTAAAGCAAAACTGACGCCTCCCCCCAAGATTTCTCTGGAAAAGGTTTAAGGCTTCCGGACATCTATTCTTAAACTTCGAGAATGAGATATCTTATGTATGCACTCTGCAGCCTTAAATCTCCAAATCCCAGGCCAACCCTTCACTTTTCACCTATCATCTCACACATAGCTCGACAATTCAATGCCTCAGAATAATTTAACCCGCGTCAGCTTCACTCCCATATTTCTCTCTGACTTTAGATGATTATCAACTATAGTCACCGGCTGGACATCATCTCATAATGTTTTTTGCAAAGTCGAGGCAGTGGTGCCAGGGCCAGGATTTGTGCAATATGCAACGAAAGCTCTTGCAGAGCTATAAAGTATTCACTTGAAGGCACGCTGGTCCGACAACAAAGTCAAAGGTGAGCAGCGACAAAGAGATTGCGATGTGCAACGAAAGTTTCAGCAGAGCTGTAATTGAATTCACTGGAAGACACGCAAGTCGTTGTCAGTCAAAGGCGAGCCGGCGACAGAGAGATCCGATGTGCAACGAAACTGTCAATAGTATTTATCCATCCTTCACTCTTTCCCATAATGAAAAGGAGGAGCTTTATTATGGGCAAGAGGCCTCTCCTTTAGTATCAACCTAGGATGCCGGATGTGAAGGAAAGAAAACAAGGAGGCTTAAAGGGAATACATTGAAAGATTCCCAGCACCTCCCGCATCGCACGCCTCAGTCCGAAGCCTTCAACTACTTTTCACACTTGAAAATGGTTGTGATTGCTCTAGCCAATAGAGCCAGATGAAAAGATTTCATTTCGGGACTTCTCTGTAAGCAAAACAACAGCTCAGTGTCACAACTCTCCCTCCCCTTCCCCACCTTCCACAACCTCCCTCCCAATCTTCACCTCCTCCTCACTCGGCAAATTCGTAATCATCAAATACAGCACATCCTTCTTCAACATCCTCTTAACCAAACCCTCTCTCCCTCCCCTCCTCCTCCCCTTCCCACTCCTCATCTGCTCCGTAACCTCCTCCCCTCTTCTAACCGCCCTCCGAACCCTCTTCGCGCCCCGTCTCCTCTCCCTCCTCTCCCTCGGATTTACATGTCCCCCGGTCAACAAAGAAATCAGACTCCCGCTATTCGCCGCATGGTTAGGATCCGCGTATCTTGACTTGAACTCTGGCTCTGGGCCAGCGCTTAATTTGCTCATGCCGTAAGTCTCGCCGCTGAACTTCGCTTGTGCGCGACGGTCGTAGTAATCTGCGATGAACTTCCCGCTGGCTTTCATCTTCGACTGTTTTTCCTGGTGTTCTTTTTCGGCAGGGGAGAGAGAGTCTAGAGCTGGGAAGATGAGAGGCGCAGCTTCAGGAAGTTCGAGCTCGCCGTATGTTTCGCCAGATGAGAGACGCAGGTTCTTTAATGTTTGGCGCGTGGATGAGGAAGCGGGGGTCATGGAGGAGGAAATTGTTTGGTTGATGTCGATTCTGGAGTGGACGGCGTTTGAGTCGGGTTTATACGTCATAATTAGACAGTAGAGACCGCGGGGTTTGAAGAACTCGTTGTTCATGCGATCGAGGAAGGTGTTTGTCCTAATCAACTAGTCAGGGGGAGGAAATGTTGGGAAGGGAGGGAAGGGGACGAACCTATGACGGCGTTGCACCTCCATCGCAACGCCAACCGCTACCTGCACCGCGATAGTAACACCCATCACAATCGGATTCGGCGCCAGGCCCGCGATCGCAGCGCTGATGTTCACAACCTGCAGCCATTTGTCCTCTTTCGTGCTCTTATAAAATGTCACCAGAAAATCCAGAAACGTTGCTTGATCGATACCGCAATCTGCTAGGACAGGGGCGTAAGCGCGGACGAATCCGCGCTTCTTGTCGCGAGGCCTCCTCTGCGGGATTATAACCGGGCATGGCAATTTTCCTCGCGTTGGGCCGGTCTCCCTCGGTGTGTAGGCAGGAGGTGGGTGGTTGGCCATGAACGTATCGGTAAGTTGTCCGATGTCTTCTGGTGCGTCGTCGCGGGGCTCGGGGTAGGAGACTGCTTCGTCGAGCTCCCATTGTTCTTCGTCACCTTCCTCGGAGAGAGAATCATCATCATCGTCATCGTCGTTGTGGGGTGTCTTCTCGTCGTGGCCGTAGAAGTGGGGGTCTTTCGTGTCTGCGGGGACTGCTTTCCCGGCTGCGATCAGCTCGTCCGCGGTATGGTTTGGGACTTCGACGTATTGGGGTGGTGCTTCATTGGCAGAAAGGGGGGCGGATCTGCTGCTGCCTTCGCCGGCGTTATCTGGACGGTTAACGTTCGAGGACGAGGATTTGCGATTGTGGATGGCTTCTGATGCGAGGCCTATTCCTGAGCCTAGGAGCTTCACGAGACGGCCCATTGTGCTGCTGTTGTGGGAGGAGTAGGATTTAGAGGATCGGGTGATGGAAGTGATGGTGTTGGTGAGTAGAAGAGGAGTCGAGGAGAGCCATTATATATTCGTCTGCTGTTGAGGATGAGGTGAGTTGAGCTTCCTGCATACTGCTTATAGTTAGTCTACGGAGGTAGTGCAACCCCCCCGCGACGTCGGTCCGTCCAGCGCCATTTTACGGCGGGTCTCTCTGGACCCCTGCTGGCCCCTGAAAGCTTAGCACAGCCCTACGGCTTGGCCCTTGCCGTGCGAAATGCTTACCATATTGATTTCACGAAATTTTGCTTAACAGCGCCCTGAAGATACGATCATACGCCTCCCCCTCCCTAATTACCTGCAATTGTGGACCCTCTTGACCGGTGGGTTTTGTATGGTAGAGTGTCTGTGTTCTGTGGACCCACTGTTGCAAGTAATTAGAGGAGGGGGGAGTACTCGTAAGCTCTCAATAACAAAGATGTAAGCTGCAAATTGGTGGCTGGGCCAGATGTCCCAGCGTCAGATGCCTATGTGGGGCGGGCAAATGTTATCGGACTGACCAGGGAGAATTTGGAGTTGTTCCAGCGAGGGATCTCTTCTTCTTCTTTTCCGCTAATTCCTTACCTAAGAATTAAGAAGATAGAAAAGGGGTAATCCTTTAGACTATTAAGAGAAGTGTATTTTGGCGGCTATTTCTAGTACTTTACTCTGTCATAAAGAAAAACCGTCCTTTCGGTTTTCGCGCACCCTTACGCTCCCTCCCGATCCTTAATATTTGATCAGAGCCGCGTTTCAATTTACTCGAACTTTGGTTTCTAAAGGTCGCACGTGTATTACCGAGGCCGATAGCAATCCTCCAGCCAAAACCCCTAAAAACATGACATTATGACATTGCGCAATGTCACGATTTTCGGGGGTTTGTCAGTATCCCTTCGTCCGGTAGAAACTGTCCACGCTAGCAAGGGGGGCCTGGCTCAGGGCGAAAACGTGTGCCTTTGCTTAGAAACCTATTAGTCATCTATCGCCTTTTCGCCCTGAGCCAGGCCCCCCTGCTAGTGTGGACAGTTTCTACCGGACGAAGGGATAGGGGTTATAGGCCTCGGTAGATTCCGGAGCAGGCGGGGCTTTCAGAGGAACAAAGACCCGTAACACCACCCAGGACCAATCCACCATGCTCCAGATCTCCTATCAAGCACTTCTTAGTACACGCCAGTAAGCGGATTATCTTGTAGACCTAGCCATACCTAGTAAACTCCGGGTTGCTGAGCATTTGGAGCATCCAATAGTTGCGTTAAATAGAGTCTAATCTTAGTTAAAAGTTAAGTCACAATTAACTTTTAATATTATACAAAAAAGGCGACCTTTATAGTAGTATTATATAATTCCATATGAAACCAGTGTGTCAAAAAAGTAATCAAGGTATTCCGAATATTCATGAATATTCATGATTAGCTTGAATAGAATATAATTACTGCAATGCTTAAATAATTTGATTAGATTAGAATATATAATCATGAATATTCATGAATACTTTGATTACTCTACACGTGACCATGGCACGTGATACTCTAGCCTAATTAAGTAGAGATCCCGCTCTAGTGTCTCCTTAGCGCCACCTCGCTGCCTAATTAGTGGGTCGAAAGCCTTGCAAAGACGATGCTAGATCGGGAGCCATACTGTGGTGGGGTTTTTTCTCTCTTGTCCCGTGACTACCGTCACGTGTCCTGCTTCCCAGGCATGCTGGCGCTAGTTTAAGGGGTTGCATAAGACCTCCGTCCATACGTACGATTAGCCTTCCCAATACATCAACCTTCGGAGCCCCTTATTTTTGACCATTCGTATTATTTCATTACTGGTGCTGAGAGTCTTTGCTGGGCAAGCTCTGGAATCTTGAGTGTGTTGTGAAGCTTGATGAATTCTGTCTAGCGAGAAGTTGCTATCTGAGTAAGGCTAAGCGAGAACGTGATTCCCTAGCAGTCTTAAGATTATTACTTCTACTTATTTAGCTTCCTACCCTCTTTACCTCCACCCACGCATCCAACGCCTATATATGGTCCGAAATCCATATAACAATCAAATCCCCATCACAATACCTAATTAGGTTAGTATATCACGTGAGACAGTCACGTGTATAGTAATCAAAGTATTCATGAATATTCATGATTACCTCAATTAGAATCTGATTAGAATATAATTAGTGGGTATTTTTGATGAATAAATTAGATTACTAGCCAGTATTCTAATCTAATCTATTCATTTGACACACTGTATGAAACAGTTATATGGGCGATTTTATATAGTAGGGTTGAAGAACGGTAATTTAATTTAAAATGATATTATATAATAAATGGGGCGTATGGGTGGTTCGCAGGACGGGCCCTTAAACAGCCCTATCAAGCCCCCGAGTTTGGACGCCACAGATGACGTTAGGAATCCAGTGATCAGTAATCAATAGCCCGCGGGCAGCGTGGAACATTGCATTACGCTGCAAAGCTGCAAGACCACTATTGTGCCCTACAGGTTTGAAGTCGTATTCTCATGCAAGTAACAAAAGAGAGTGTGTTTCTGAATCCGTATTCACCGATAGTGACCGAAGAACGAGTAGGCCAAGGAAAACCAAGTGGCGTTTTCTTTCCGCTTTGGGCACACCGAAATCCCTCGCGATCCAATCAACAACGGCCATTAACATGGGCTTCCCCCCCACCACTTTCTTGAACTTTGGATATGGATTCATATCATCTTCCGGTTCCCACTCATTCCATACGGATATCAACTGTTTCCCCCGTTTCACTTCTCAGGGTATATTATCCATTCTATCGTATTCAAAACGCCCTCCGCATATCTCATCAGCCGGAGGGTACCAAGCCGATCCGTCACCTAAGGCCCCGGAGCCAATCTGTACGGTAGCCAACACAAATCGCTACAAAGCCATGGACGACGAGTTCTTGATTGATTTATTCCTGGAGGAGAGTAATTTTGTCGATCCGGACAACCGCTCTGGTCCAGCCGCAAAAGTTTACGACAGCTTCGGGCTAAACCATACTCAGTATCACGATAACTACCATGACTGTTCGACAACCAGACACGACGATCCGCTCAATTGTCCATTAAGTTGGAAAGAAACCATAGCCAGCTCGGATATTGCACATACAATGAGTGATGGTAGGCCACTTTACACCACTAGTCCCTCATTTGCCAAATTCGACACCCATCACAAACTTCCCTTTTTGCTACACTCAGGGACGGATTCTAACCTTGGCATGTTTGATTCCCCAAACACTCAGAAGCAGTACCACTATCATCTGAGCGATATGTTCATTCTTGATTCCACGTCCATGTCAATAGCCGAAAATCCCCCTCTTGATCCTCTTGGATCATTCTACATTGACCCGCCATCGAATCTGCAATCCAGTAGCCCGGTCATCTACACTCCAACATCTAGCAATGGATCAGACAATGCTAATATGGAAGCTACTCAGCAATACTTCTGTGAAGGTGTGCGGAGCAGCGACCATCCAGACTTCGATGGCAAAGAACTTTCTTTGGGCTTTCATCCACAGCTGAGCCATGAGACTCAACGAAACAAAGTCACAAACTCTATTCAAACCACGCCAAAGCCGACGTGTATCCATCGTCTCCCAGAGCGCCTAGACGTCTCTTCAACTCTTCTGGGACCACATCCTCTCCAACCTCCACCCGAGAAACTGATGACGACCTTCGAAATTAAACAATCAACCACAACCGTATCGAAGGGTAAAAAAGCTTATAGCGTGGAGGAAAGGAAGAAAGTTGAGCAAGTAAGAAGAAAGGGAGCATGTTGGCAGTGTCAGATTAGGAAAATTGCGGTGTGTTAAAATGTTGATGCGTTCCCTACAAGGCCCTCTACTGATAAGAGAGTCATAGTGCTCTACGGACGAAACATGTACCCGCTGTCAGAGGATGGCTAAAAATCCTAACTTAGCAGGGCAGATCTGCCTAAGACAGAGATTAATGGACGTATACATCTCCCATTCAAGTAATTTCATGCCTCCGTCTTACACTTGCTCAAATCTGACTAAAACAGGCATATATGAGATGATTATCAAGGCCCAAGAGCGCAGCGCTACTTCGGTTAGATTTTCCTCTGGCATTACTGAACAAGTGTCCTTCAGACTGGAAGCCATGATTAATGATTCTCCTACCCTCAGTCTCACCGTCACAGGTTACGAACGCATCTACCCAGGTACAGGGCTCTCTGGATCATACACCGCATCAATTGCTTGGCATCCTCCTGCGACGGAGTGCCGAGCAATCCTTCCAGATTCTGTTCCTAGTATCGAACAGCTAGAGAATTTGTCCCGGCCAGGTATTTGCAAACTACACGACCCGTTCCTTAGCCACGACTTGCATGACAAGATCGATCGAGTGCTACTTTTATATTCGGAGGGTTCGCCACTCGTGAGAGCCCCTTCCACAGAAAATTCCCCTTATCAACTCGTTTCCTAGCATGAACTCGTTACCGCTACCTTGAGGATAGTAAATCTACGAAGTTTCCTAATGCACTCGCTGGTATTCACCCACGGTAATGCAGCAGGCGGTACTTCTCGCGACTACTCTTACGCCGACCCTGTGCTCAACCAGCACATCAGGGCCATTGCACTCGCCGGCATATCCAAAGCCGAGAAATTCGTCCTCTCCCAGTTCAACAATCTCCCTCGCCTCCTCGGCCTGGACATCTTCAGCATGATGGTGACTAAGAATTGTTTACTCAGACTGCTGCTCATCTATAGGAATGATGTCTTGTTATGTGAGAGAAGTGTGAAGATTCCGGTGAAATCTCGAGGTGAGGATGAGCATGGCGAAACGAGTGCGATTCTATTCTGTGATTATACTTACTGATGATTGCTGCCAGTAATCTTTGCAACGAGGCTTGAGAAAGTCAAGTTCATGTATCGAGTGGTTGTTGCTACCTATGGAACGCTATGCGAGAGGACATCCTCATTTGCACAATTCGAGTGGAGGCTGTGGAGCCACAATATACAGCAGAACGACCCCAATCAAAGCGGCAATGCTTTACCATTGGCAATTGCGATCGAGGAGCTCGGTTCTGCGTATGAGAATTTCTGTAAGCACTGTGTTCTAGGACTTCTCTCCACATTCTTTGAAAATTTGCTAATCCTGAACAGGCGAACAAGAGCTGTCAATAGAACACGATGAAGTTTTCCGCTTCTTTATTATAGGGGCTGCCAAAAAGGGAGCAAAAGCCTTGGAATAGGAAGCTTTCGAAAAACCGCGATGGGGAGTTTTAAGGGAGCCGGCATCTTGCTGTGTATCAACAGTTGGGGAAGGGGAAGGATGTGCCTCTTTGACGCTTGTCTTTTCTCGTGCGGCCCTCTATTGGGGAGGCTTGTTATTTAGATTCTTTGGAGCTTGTCTTTAAGTGCGATGGAGAAGTCTCTTGTTACACATAGCAAAGCTAATTGGCATGTTTTATCGCATATTGCAGCTGTTTGGTCCCAAAGACTTTCTGACACTCAACCAGGGCCTAGGTCGGATGTCGGCTAGAAGGACTTTGGGTCTTTCGGGATCATGACCAGTTGTGGGCTGGCAGAAGCAATTACACTGCTTATTGTAATTTTCAACGCCTGGATATTTCAGCTGCTGAACATTTTAAGAGAACTTGGCTGTAAAGCCCACCTCATTTATTCTTGGTAAAGCTTGACTGCCACCTGTAACGGCAGGACTTCGAGATCGCCGCAAGGAGAGTGCCGTTCTAAGAGAAGACTCTTCGTGCTCATTGCTGCGGCCAAAGAGAGCGCGAAGCCTACTTGGCTTCCTCATGTTGATCGTCGATATTTCCAGTGAATCAGCAGCAGGCGATGGTAGATTCAGTGAGAACTAGAACGCCCAAGCTCGATCGAAGTCTCTGAATCTGAAGAAATAGATAGTAGGGTTGCAGGGGGGTTGTTGCGTCTGCCGGACAGATCATGAGCTGTTTACTCTGTACGAGTCTCGCTTGACGCACTACAAATATGGATTTCGATATAGTTGTTGCACAACGTATTGAGAGGAGTTCGTACTCCTTGCCATTCAATCAGAGATCATTAAGCTACGAAATCGGCGGGAACGTGCAGCTGCGTCGAAGAGGGCAGAGTCAGAGGAGTAACTGTCTCCGGACTTTGGTCGGACGGTCGGACCCCGAGACTGGGGGAGGAGAGAAAGATGCCATGACAGCGGCACCAGTGCGCCTAAAATAGCTGCTGGGACAGCGCTCTGGTCGACTATCATTGAAGCCTACACCGAAAACCGAGATTATTGATGACCTGCAACACGAAGTAGTCGAAAACAGTCAAAGAACACGCCATCACGAAGATCTCAAGTACGTGGATAGGCCACAGCTAGCAGTTCGTTGCACTACTCAAAGTCGGAAGGGATCGTCACGCTGGCCACTCATATGGCCTCGAACATCTGAGAACATTTCACACTTGTGAGCATCTCTGATCAATTTATGAAAGCAAAGTATGCTCTCTGGAGACCTTGTACAATGCAGTCAGAAGGAGTTGACCTGCATTTGCAGTGCTTTATCCTGCACAATCACTCCGAGGTCAGAGCAAGGGCTCTTTGGCTGTAAAATCAAATGTTATTTCTAACATAATGAGTATCTAACTAAGGCCTTGCCTTGTTATATAATGGGCCGAAATTTCCTAACAAATTCCGATGTCTCAATAACTGGACTTATTCCACTCTATAGTATATTTTCCCTCGCTCTACTTGCCTTTCTTAGTAGTGCGCGCAAGGATCGTACAACAAACATATACAACGTAAAGAAAGCAACGCCAAACAACCTGCTCAAATGCATCGAGGAACAGAACCAGCCGCAGGGAGCACGGCTACTATCGCCAAAGTGTGGTGAAGAATCGACATGCCTCGTGAGGTCATACCATATCGAGTCGCATTGAGGTATCCTAGCTTCGTATCGCCGTGGGAGTAATCGATTGAGGTCAAGGCTCCTCAGTGAGTTCGTTTAACCTATCGCTTGGCCTCACAGAAAGAGCAGAAACAAGACGAAGCAGAGTCTCAATCCAAAAATCCCAAAGATTCTGGGCCTGTATTGCCGCCGCCGTCGATCCAGTGATGATCACCGCAATGCCAAGTAAGACGAGGGGTGATTGTGGTAACCACAAATATAGCCACAGGGCGAAGACGACTGTGAGTGTGCAGAACCTATCCCTGTCAGCAGCTGCTAAGCTCCAAGCTGAAGGGCATGTTTACCATGTCTTTCTCGTGTCACTCATATCTGCAGGCGTGCATTTTGTTATGTAGATATCGTAACACAGGACCCAAATGACTAAAGAGCTAAAATGGCACCGTAAGTTAGCAACTGCGGTCATCGTTTCGTCTGAACTTCGCTATGAGACAGAGTAAACATTGGGGGACATACATAGCCCGCAGGAGCTGCATCCAAAAAGAGCCAATTGGAGTATTGGTATTTCCAAACAACTGCTCGCCGAAAATAAGACTAAGAGCAGCGCTATACAATAAAGGTCTTAAGGAGGAAGCGTGCTTTCCATTTCGACATCGGGCACTGTGTCGGAACCGTGATTGGGATCTTGCTGTCGCTGGGAGTGGCAGCTCGGTTCTCCGTTCAGTTCCTCTCCACCTGATGCGTTTGGACAACATGTCCAGTAGTCGCCGTGGCCACCATCGGCGTGGAGCGTCGTTTCTCGTTTGTTCAAGGATCTGCAACGCGACAGTATTTGGCAGCTCGGGGTGATGATTGGCGGCTTCCTCCGCGTCTATGGTAGCAACAGTTGGTATGTATCGCGCTGAAGTTGTAGCCATGCTGCCGAAGTGGCAGCAAGAGTCGAAAAGGAAATTGTGTTGTTGAGCGGCCTGTGATAAGGCTCGGTGGGTATCTGTGGGTATCTTCCCGACTCGACGAAAGTGTGGTATGGGTTCCGGGCTGTAGGGTTTTCGAAGTGACAGTGAGTTCTCCGGTATGAACTTAAGCCCTGCATGTCATTGAGCGATTAGCGTATTTCCAAGAAGCTGTGATTGATCCGACATTTGATCAGGTCCAGGGAGCATGAACGAGGACTCACTAATTGAGAATTATCACAACTCAAAATAAGTCCTTTTCGCACAAACCAATCTTCACAAATTGGAACACACTGGTGAGCTTAGTCAATTGATAATGATATATCGCTCGAGGAGCGTCGAGGACGGTAGACTAGACTGTGGGGTTGGGCGTGTCGAGCCGACTTTGTCCCAAAATACTTCTTGAATTGTGGAACACGCTATGTGGGGAGAAGTACAAGAGACGGACGGATTCAAAAACTCTTGAGCTAGGCAAGATGAACCATAAATCAACGGGGAAATGGTTGAATTAAGAGTGTAAGGATTGAAGGAGAAGAGGGAGAGGGAGAGCGACTGCACCGCCAGCATATTTTAATCTGGCTCCGCAGCCTGACATATCGCCTAGGATTCACCATGCGTTGAACCGACAGTCGTTGTGACCGTCGAAGCGACAGTCGTCGTGACCGTCGAAGCAACAGTCGTTGTGACCGTCGTCGTGACCGTCGAAGCGACAGTTGAAGCGACCGTCGAAGCAACAGTCGAAGCAACAGTCTAATCAACAGTCTACTCGACAGCCCAATCAACACCCCAATCGACACCCGATTGTGGTGTCGATTAGGGGCCACTAACCCAAAGTAGAGGCGCTCGGACAGGAACACCAAAAATATAGCTTTCTTTTTAAACTTATTTTCTTTTCTCCCTTCGTCTCTGGTGAGACATGTCCAGCGCTAGCAAGGGGGTGTGGCTGCACACAAGCCTCACCTCGCCTTATTGCCCTTTTTTCTCTTGTTTTCAAGAATAACCCGTAAAGGGAATCGAAATTGCCCACGATTTTCTACTTCTAAAAATTTGATTTTATAATAGGCTTAGGCTATTAGTGGTTTTCACAAGTTGCGCTCCCTCACCTGGAACTTGTGTCAAGCGACATTCCCATCAGAGATAATCGAGGTGGCAGCCAAAGAAGCGTATGCCCCGAATCATTCGATACTATCTCGCCAATGATGATTGTGAGAGAACGCCCTTTGGAAGCAAAACCAACATCTCGGAAAATGTTTGAACAAAACAGAAATTTGTGTAAGAGCAATACTCGAGGCAGAGCGTGACCTGCGAGCTGGTGTTCAGAGGGGTGTGTTGCAGCAGCCCAGTCTGCTTGTCGCGTTCTACACACAATCCACGTCCACGAAACAACGACTAAAAACACATTCCCTACAACCATGGCCCGATCCGACGATCTCACGTACCGCCGCATCCAAGACGCCGTCCTCAAGGGTCGCGTTCCCCCCTCCGCCGACCTTGGCGAGTACTGCCGAAGTGGGGAGATCCAATCGAGGCACCAACGTTGCTGGAGGCATACAAGAAGAACGACATCGCCATGCAAGCCCTCGACCGCTACCGTGACGCTCGTGACAAAGTCCGTGACCGCGAGACGAGAGCCAGCTCCCGAGGCACGAAGAACGAGCGTTAGGAGGAGGATCCGCCGAAGGTGGCCAAGCGCCGACCAGGACGTCCAGCAAAACAAGTCAAGATCGAGTACGACGAGAGCGGTGAAAGCGCGGACATCCCAGCAAAGATCACATTCCCAAAGAACGCCAAAGCGACGCCGACCAAAGGCAAGGCCAAGGCTAAGGCAAATGAAGTTGACGCCAAATCGGATACGCCAGCCACACAAACAGTACAATTGACGGTCACTGAACTCGGTGCCTACTGCGAAGAGGCGTACCGCGCCGGACGACACACCCTACTACTCGCAAACAACCTCCTTGTCGATCTCCGCCAATTAATGAACATTATCGAGGACATGAAGGCTCCTACGTCGCGCTGGTCAGAGCAAGGACGGGATACGGTTATCCAACGTATCAACGCCGCTCGTTACCCGAACCACCTAATGAATGCCGAGGCGTACTAGAAGGTCATGAGGAGAGTTGGTGGTTGTGAAGGGAAAGAAGCCACGAGCCCGACATCTTCACCCCGCGCTAGCGCTTCGCTTAAAGCTAAGCTAACGGCAGAGATTTTCTCAGAGAGGGTCACGTGCAGAAAGCAATGGCTCAAGTAGTCAGGACAGGATATAGAAATGGATCCATATTACTGTGGAAGTTAGAATAGTGGTCACTGTGTGAGGTGGAGTGTACTTAGAAAAAATACCAAAAAAGCACGATCTTCAATACACGTGATTATACCCGTGACCGACTCTTTGTACAGGAGTGAGGAGAATCCAAGGGCTGAAGAGGCTCAAGGAAAGAACTGTTATTCCCTATGCGTTTCGTGGCCAGAACGAGATGAGTGAAGGCAGTATAGAAATGAACGCAAGTGTGGAATTGACTGCACGCGGCTTTATGGCATTTTGGTCACGTGGGAGGTGCTGTATTTGACAGCTGTTCGATTTGTCACTAGCAGTGAGGAACGTTGCAATCGCAAATGAAATCGGAACGAAGACGGCAAGTCGAGCTTACATAATCAAATAATACGACCTCATATTAACCGCCAGATGAGATGAAGCAAACGCGAAAACCATAAGCGCCAAGTCTATCAATAATCAAAGTAATTAAAAAACCCTCCAGAACTTGTCTCCAAAAAGACTGCGAGGCTGGGAACGCGAACTTTTCCCTTCCAAGGCACCCCTCACCACCGCCTTCGTCCTCTCCGGCTCGACAGACTCCTGAAAAGCACGAGCAGTTGCCCTCTTTTGCACCACTGCCACTCAGCCTCAGCTCGAAATCCCCTCAGACTGCTGAAAGCGATTCTACTGGTCCCCGGAGTTTCCGTCCTCCCGTCCTCGAATTTCGAAACAAACAAATTCAGCTACTCACGGCACAGGCTGCAACGATAAGCCTTCCCCCCCGAAATGCTTATCAGGAGGAGAAACAGGAACGCCCACATCCGCATCCGCATCCGCATCCGTGATGGGGGAGGGGGGAAAAAAATTGAAACTCTTGAAACTTATTCAGCGAGCATTAACGCCCTGGGGAGGGGAAAAAAATTCTGTTTATCTTGCATTAAAGCCTCAAAACGCAACCTGAAAATAGAGAGATAACCAAGTGTAAAATAAAAAAAAGGAAATCCCAAAAGCAGGACTGAAGCCGAGGGAAAGCGCTTGTCTAACTTGCAAAGGGTGCTCGCAGGCGAACAGGAGGGCAAGGGCTCGGGATAAAAGCTGCAAAAGGAAATAAAGCACAGGGGCGCGCGGGAGGGATTGGAAGAGGAAATCTTCTGGAAGAAGGCTGAGTCCTTCTGTGCATGACGACTGCAGATCCGGCGGCCGAGGGGAAGGGCGTGGTTGGTTGGGAGGGGCGGGAAGATAGATTGGGAAACGCCACTGAGCAGGGGGATGGCGAAAGGGACGACGTCGTCGATTTGATGGCAGGCAAACGGCGGGCGTTGAGCTGGCAGATGCGGCTGTCACCTCCGCTTGCGATGAAACGGAAGGAGGAGGGAATTGTGCTAGAAAGGGAAGGACGAAGTGGAAGGCATAACTGAGGGAATAGGCTGATGCGAGAAGTGCAAGAATTATGTGGTAAGTATGACCTAATGCACGGGTCAAGTCTGTCGATGAACAATTCCCGCAGCAAACTCAAAACCCCAGATCTCCAGGAAGAGTGATCACAATGAGGTTGTAAATTTACTTTCTTACGTACGAGGTACATGCTTACGGTTCGCGGCAGCGCTGCGTATCTTTCGCAACCCGTGCGCTAGCAGGGTTCTCCAGGGCCTCATATCGCGAATGCACACAAATGGTCCAGGATGCATCCGGGACACGTACGCTGCTCCCCCTCTTTTTGCACAGCGATTAGCTGGTGTAGTACGAGTAGTACTTGTAGACAGGACCCCGCTACCACAGTAGACCTGCACCCCGTCTAGCGCGCAACTCGATCCCTGGCCGGACCGACTAGCAGAGGCTTTGGCCAGTGGGAAGAGTCGAAACAGACCCGAGACGCGCCAAGGCGCGTAGTGCGCTTCTAGAACAATTCCATTTGCCCCACTGCGGCCTCTGCTCCCCTGGCCCCTCTGACCCCTCCGGCCCCTCAGAACCCTAGCTCTTATCAGCCCCATCCGTGTGCTCAGCATATCAAATTCAAAATCATGCTTTCTTAATATGCCGGCCATGATAAAGTTTGTCAACGCTGAGGGAGAGGGGTCAGGTGCCAGGCGTCAGGCGTTTATCCGACGCTGCCTGGAGCTGGAAGCTGCAAGCTGCGGCCGCGCCACCCGCCTTCAGCCTCCGATCCTGCATCGCTCGCCCTGAGCAACGATCGGTACTTACTGCGAGTCTGCGAGATGTGGTGCAACCTGTGGTTTTGCACGGTCTTGCCACCCCCTCGCGCGTCGTTGCCCCTTGATTCGCTGCCTCGGCGTGGCTGGACGAGCGGGCGCTATCCTTATCTGTGGATCGTGTGGATCTCAGACAAGTACGGACATACCGGGATGTGATCTATGAGACTACTGGGAGTAATCCGAGTAACAGCGGACAGGCCAAGGCTAGAAATGGCAGCCCTGCCATGCAGCGTGGGATTGGCTGCAGGCCCAGGAAGCTTGCTGAGCTTGCCTGCGCCAGCCTAGCCTTGGTCGATGCTTGCTTCAACACCAAGGCCTGGCGGCTGTTTTGCAGGTCGGGCATGCCGTGCGAGGGGGCTAGTCGGGGTACAATGTAAATTTACATGCCACGACGAATGAGTGCCCTTGCTCATATCGTGACATGGCATCCATGTGGAGACAATGGAAGGCCAAGCCCGGGCTGCACTCCACACTAGATAGCAATTGGGAGGTGCCAGGAAGATGTCGTGAGGGCGAGAGGCAGGTATAAAACAAGCGAGACCCCTACTCGAAATTACTTTCAGATCGGCAGAGTCGCGTTCCTTCTCCAACTCCTTCCTCTCTTCCTCCCAACGATCACCCACACGTCGACTACACAGAAGTCAAGATGGGCGTCAGCGACAGCGAGAAGTATGCCTCCGATCTGGACAACCAGTCTCCCATTGGGGGCACGCCGCCGATTGGGGACATCGAGCTGGGCGAGGGTGGACTGAAGAGAAGTCTGAAGGGCAGACACATGCAGATGATTGCCATCGGTGGTTCCATCGGCGCTGGTCTGTTCGTTGGTTCTGGTAGCGCTCTGAGCAGTGGTGGTCCGGCTTCTCTTATAATTGACTTTATCGTCATTGGTATCATGTTGTTGCTCACTGTCAATGCCCTTGGAGAGCTTGCTGGTAAGTTGACGCGTCCCGAGCTCGAGGGAACGATCTAACACGTACTAGCTCTGTACCCTGTCGCTGGTTCCTTCTACAACTACTCAATCCGGTTCATTGACCCCGCATGGGGCTTTGCCATGGGCTGGAACTATGCCATGAACTGGTTGATAGTCTTGCCATTCGAGCTCACCACCGCCGGTATCACAATCGCCTTCTGGACCGACCCAAACAACACTGGCACTCCGTCCATCAACGTCGGTGTCTGGATCACAATCTTCCTGCTCAGCGTCGTTGTTGTCAACATCTTCGGTGTCCGCGGCTATGGTGAGGTCGAGTTCGTTCTTGGCCTGATCAAGGTGACTGCAATTATCGGTTTCATCCTCCTCGGTGTTATCATCGACTGCGGCGGAGTTCCCACTGACAACAGAGGCTACATTGGCGCCCACTACTGGCACGAGCCAGGTGCATTCCGCAACGGCTTCAAGGGTTTCTGCTCCGTGTTCGTCACTGCCTCCTTTGCCTTCGGTGGAACTGAGCTGGTGGGTCTCGCCGCAGCAGAAGCCGCCAACCCAAGAAAGACAATCCCCAAGGCCACTAAGCAAGTGTTCTGGCGTATCACCCTCTTCTACGTGATCTCGCTCTTCCTTCTCGGCCTCATCGTCCCCTCCGACAACGAGAACCTCTCCCAAGCCTCCGGTGGTAACACCAGATACTCTCCCTTCGTTTTGTCTTTCCAACTTGCTGGCATCAAGGCTCTCCCTTCAATCTTCAACGCAGTCATCACCCTCTCCGTCCTCTCCGTTGCCAACTCCTGCACCTTCGCCGCCACGCGAACCGTGCAAGCCCTCTGCGCACGTGGCATGGGCCCCGCGATCGGTGCCCGCGTCGACTCCAAAGGCCGTCCCTACGTAGTCCTCATTGTCACCCTGCTCTTCGGTTGCCTGGCCTACATCAACGAAGCCTCGACCGGAAGCACCATCTTCACCTGGCTGCTGTCCATCTCCGGGCTGTCCAACTTCTTCACCTGGGGCAGCATCTGCTTCGCGCACATCCGCTTCCGCAAAGCGTGGGCCATGAACGGCCGCACCACCGACGACCTGCCGTTCGCGGCCATGTTCGGCACCATCGGCTCCTGGATCGGTCTCGGGCTCAACATCCTCTGCCTCATTGCCCAGTTCTACGTCGCGCTGTTCCCTATCGGAGGCAAGCCCAACGCCGAAGCGTTCTTCGAGTCGTATCTCGCTGCGCCGGTCGTGATCATGTTCTTCGTCGGCTACAAGCTGTATTACAGACAATGGTCTCTCGGCGTCAAGCTCTCGGAGATCTCGATCGACGAGGGACGACGAGAGGTTGATCTCGATGCGTTTAGAGCCGAGCTCGAAGCGGAGCGCGCGGAGAAGGCGACGTGGCCCTGGTGGAAAAGGACGTGGGATTTCTGGATGTAAAGGGGAGAATCCTATAGATGTATGATATGGGAACGGTGTGGCTTTTCTCTTACTTTCTATCTTATCATAAAAGTAGATTTTGCCTGAGACTCGGGGAAAGGGATAAGTGGTTGGTTGGTGCGGGATGGAAATCACTGCATGGTTGCGGGATAGATGAGATGAGATGAGATGATGGTAGATACCCAATGCAAAACAATCGCTCTTTACTTCACTTCTTCTTTCCTTCTTGATTGTGCGAAGGAAAGCGAGATATATATACAGTACTTCCGGACTAGATTCTTCCGACGTGTCGTTTCATGTCATGTTTGTCGGAGGGCGTGGGCAGCGGAAGGCGGGGAGTGCGCCCGCTAGATCTCAGATCAGTTTCTGACCGAGCACGAGTGAATAATCTTCTAACGGATCACTCACTATGGGGTTGGAAGAGTGCCCACAAGAGATAGGAGATGAACGCACGGGTACTACCTAACCTCTTTCATTGGGGGAGAGGAGAAGATGGATAGACTTGGGTAAGGTACGCGGGAAAAGGGTTACGTCACGTGAGCACCCCTTTCCTAGCATCACTTTGAGGGATGAGCTACTTGCTGCTGGTAGGCGTCGCATTGATCAGTCTTGAAAGGAGAAATGTGGGAGGGAAGTGAGTATTTATCTTTTAACGATAGCAGGTGGATAATGATCGAGAGGTATCAAAAACCTTAAACGTTTTTGCCTCGACTTTGGATAATCAACAATTCGGACCGATGCGACGAACGTTGAATCTAATGTTCATATCTCGGGATCGTAGCTCGTGTTTAGAGGGGGGGGGGGGGGGGGGGAGATATGGATTAGTTGGTAGGGGACGAACCCCCACTTGAGAGAGGTGGGTATACGTAAGGGTTCTTGCGGATTCCGAAGATCGGGGACGGAGGAGGTGGTCGTGCAGCTCTCACGATTATCCTTAGAAGCAGTGCAATCAATCGCGTTCCGTTTTAAGAGGCAATTTTTCAAAGACGATATAAGCTGGTTTGTCGATGGCTCCCGAGCGCGGTTTCGATCTAGCCGCTTGGCAACAAAATCATTGGGTTCCTAGGAACGACGAGGAGGTTCAAAACAACGAACCGGGACGCTCCCAAACGGCGAAGCACTGGCAACCCATTGGCGAGCGACGCCGATCGCGGCTTTCTTGGGAGTAACAAAATACGCTATCGGTCGAACATGAAGGGAAAGAATTTTATCTCGTGTGGTGCTCTGTAGAGCCTTGCCAGGCACTGGAGCAGACAACTCATGTCTTCTCAATCTAGACAATGCTCGGCAGATTGCGCCTATGCTGTGAAAGTATTAGGACTGGTTACTCTCCAAAAGCCGTTCTCACGGGGAACGGTAGAGTTGAACATAACGTACCCAGACGCTCCGCCGGTTGTGCAGTGGAATGCACTTATGAATCCAGTTGATGAAGCCGTTCTTGCAGAACTTGTACGCTTCAACCGCGTCCACTGATCTCGACCTGTCCTCTCCGGCTATAACCCTGTTGAACTTCAGCCTGGCCCGCAATATCAGATAAATGATGACATTGTGGTAGTTACCGATGTTGTTGTATGCAGTTTCTGCGAAAGTTTCTCAAGACTCGGAAGAAAAGAGCAAGGAGATGGAATTTGGATGCGAAGAATGTACAACTTGCTGCTTTTCAAGATGTAAACGATGGATCCTTGCGTAAAAGAAGCTGACAAAAAAAATCACTTGAAGCAGTGCAGTTGCCCAGAACCGTATGACCCAAGAGCCGCAGCTTTCACTTTCAAAGAGTGATCTTGTTCAAGATTTCCACGTGCAGAAAGGAAAAACGAGACTTATTCCTCTGTCCAAAATTGTGGCACAGTCTGTGCTTTGGGAAACAACTGGCAACGCACTTTCGAGGATGTAGGCAGTGTGTATTTGCAGACCCGGATTACGAGAGCCTTATTGCGCGGCCACCCCCAACAGCCAGAATTAGGACCATTGAGCTTTGAATCGAAGAACGAATAGTCGAGGATCTGTTATGGGCATATCTGACTGAGACTTCGAGGAAAGCATTCGAACTCTCGATGATATCTTCCTGAAGTCGCGGATGGGCGATGTTTTCCCCAAGATTGTTTCTTAGACGGAGAGGAGCTTGGTACAGAACCAGCCGCGCAGCTCCCTCCTAGTTGCTCAATCGTTATCTCCACCATTGTGCCATATATATATCCATTCTCGATTGGCCGTTGTCGAAGGGTGGCTCGCAGGTCCCGAATCTTTCGATATTTCCTCGTTCAAGTGTTGAGCCCCTCCCCTCATGGCATGCTGTAAATCATCCCACTGCTAGCCCAATATTAAGGTATTAGACACTTCTCGATTCCCGCGTCTGCCGTGGAGGTAAACATTCTGTGTATGGTGTAGCAACGCGTCGAAAAAGTGTAGGCGGGATCCTGGGCTCCTTCAGCTTGACCTTCGATTTGGCTTGAGGCTCTCTGGAAATTATTCTATGTCGGGGAGTGGTACGAGGCGTTCTTTTCCCTCTTTCGAACGTCGTAGGAAGCGTCTTGAGCAGTGCTGTTTGCTGCTTTTCCAGTGTTGATCATGAAGAGGCGCGTCGTTTGGGCAGATTGAGGGTGTCCCTAACAACTGTCCGGCCCACCCCCACTAACTCGCTTCCGAAACCTTCTTCAAGATTTGTCCAGGTCCACCTTTACATCATCATTACAATCCTGAGCTCAAAAGCATGCTTCACCCAAGTATCGCCTGTCCTACCTGACTGGTACTCGCGACGAGCTTGGTGTGCTCCCAGCGGAGTCAAATTTGTCCGAAAGCAAGTGTTCTTACGAGACGTACTCTCCCGAGTTTCCCCGCCTTCCGGAGCCTGTATAAATAAACCCTCTTCTTTTCCTGAAACCTTCTCTTCACGAGTACCCGTCATTTCGAATTCTCGAACTATTCTGTGTAGACCTGAACAATGGCCCTACCAGATCTCAACACGCTCTCCCTCGCCCTCTGCATCCTCTTCACCACCTACACAACATTTCTCTGCGGCCAACCACCCAACCCGACACCCTACAACTCCAAAACCCCCGACAGCATGAAATTCGTCGTCACACCCTCCTCTCTCCTCATCCGTTCTTCTGTCAACGTCACACTCGGCATCCTCCATGCCATCATCAGCCTTACCTTCTCGTCGCCGTCACCCTTTCTCTGTCCTAACCCATCAAATCTCAACCCCTCGCTGTTTTCCTGGACGCCCAAGAGCACCATCTCGCTCATCACCATCCTCCTCGGCTCCGCCATTCGTCTGTCCTCTTTCCGTACACTAGGACAGAACTTCACGTTTCGTCTCGCAAAACCAAAGACTCTCATCACTTCCGGGCTCTACAGTTATGTCCAACACCCATCGTATACGGGAAAAGCCTTGATTATGCTTGGAAACCTGGCTTTACTTCAGTCGCCTAGTGGAATTGTGGGGTGCTGGTTACCTGCCTGGGTCGTGAACGCGACGAACTTTTGGAGAGGGTTGGTTGGTTTGCTTTCCGTCGTGATGTTGCGTGTTACGTGGAAGAGAGTTCATGAGGAGGAAGCTATGATGAAGGAAACGTTTGGGAAGGAGTGGGAGGAATGGCACCAGGGGACCAAGAGGTTTATTCCGGGTTTGTTCTAAGTATTCTAGGTGGAATGTTTTCAACTCAAACAACGGAAAAGAAAATTCGACCCCCGAGATACGTGAGGTTTTGAGTTTCCCTCGCGAAGGAAGCCAGAGCCAGTCGTGTAGGACATCCTTGCTTCGTCGGAAATCGGATCAAATGGTATCCTCTCTTTAATCTACTCCACTATTCATCCAAATGCTTCTTCAACCTCCTCCATATCTGCACCACACCCCTCCTTCAGAATCACAAGAAAAGAGCCAATGAATCCCAAACCCCCCACGCCATCAAACCCAGCAATGCCACCCATTACACCCTGGCAAGCATCTCTGCTGCAACACCATACCCAACTCCAACATCGGCCAAGAACCTCCTGAGGCTCCCCACCACAAGACTAGACTGTGCCATCGCACTGAACCCGAAGTCTGCCTCGGCAAACACAACATCTTGCAAGATAGCCAGACAAGCAAACGCGAGAGACAGCTTGATAATTTTCTCAACATACTTACTCCGCCCAGATCCTGAAAAGAATTTGCCCACGCTTTTGACGATGGAGAAAAGGATGAAGGTGAGGAGCAGGATATCGACTGATACCGCGACTGGCACTGCGGGGATGTAGAAGGCGGAGAAAAGGAAGATAAGCATGTGTGTGACGGCAATCTTGGGATAGGATATGGTGTTGATGAGCAGTGATGCTATCGCGAAGAGGAGGAGCAGCATGAGGATGAGTGCTGAAGAGAGGAATGTCGGGCTGAGAGCATAGAAGGCATATTTGAGGTCTGAGAGCTGCATTTTATTTTCGGGCTCAAGGTAACCCTCTTCGTTATAAGTCCATGACAGATAAGAGATAAAACCTGGACCACTGATATGTCAGTATATAGTGGTTGTGGGAGAAAACCTACTTGCGATTCTTTGTTTAGCCGCATATGGGAGAGCTCTTTGTTTTGTCCGAATTGGGAGAACGAAACGGCTGGAGATTCTTTCTTCGAAGCACTGTAAGTGTTGCAAATGATAAAAGAGCTGGTTTGTTACCCTATGTGAGGGCTAATGTATAGGGGCTTGCTCGGTCAGATGCCATAAAATTCAATACCTTAGCCGAAGTTATTAATCTTCCGAATGCCAAAGAGAATAGTACGTACAAATCTCCCCTCAACCAACCTATGTCCATTTTCTCAATAATTTTACTCTCCCTCCTCCTCTTCCCAAGGGAGTTGAAGCGGAGAAATATACTCAGAAGTCTTTTTGAGAATTTGAGAGTTCTTTATTGACTCTCAGCCTTTCCGAATTCGTCGAGTAAATACCACGCTTTCAATTATACTTTCTGAATTTCTGCAATTCGAACAAAGGCATCCTGAAGCTGCACAGCCCTCGGGGTTCAAAAATAGTTCGAGAATGCGGAGCAGGAAAAGGGGCCAAAATAAGGGGCAAGAACAGGGGGCAATAAAGCTAGCTGAAGCACAAGTGAGTCGTTGTAAATGCAAAAACGAGGCGAGAGAAAAGGGACAGTAGGGTATCGTGAGAATACAAAGGACAAAGCATGTAAAGTTTGGCGTCGAACCCCTCCAATCATTTAACACTCTCGATTGAACTTCCTAATTTCACATCTCATCCTCAAAATTCCCTACAAAAGCCCCCGCGTTGAGCTGCCCGTCCACTTCCCAAGGTAGAATGATATCCTCCCAAACAGCCCTCAAGTGGAATTCGAAGAAAATATCCTGCAGCACCACCCTGCCAAGACATTCCCTCAACCCACCACTCCCTTCAATCTCACATACTCCTGCAAGCCTACACAGCTTCCCCAGCTCTTGGATAAACCAAAGCCTCTCTGCCCTTCCATTACTAACCACCGCACCAATGAAGAATATCCAAAGAAGCCACGCCCTTCTCTCCCAACTCCCGAGCCACCATTCCATCACCTCTTGCCCAAGCGAGTTCTGCAACCTTTGAGCAACGGTAATGAGAATTTGCGACGAGGGAGGTATCTCGCGGATTACAAGCCAGAGATATAACTGGGCTGCAATCTTTAACGCATATATTTCTTTCGGGAGATCTAGCGAGGTGTTGAGAAGTAAGATGTCGTATTCTAGGTTGTAGATTTGCTTGCTTACTTCCAGACGATTGAGAGTCGACATATTGGCTGGGTCGAGGGAAGAGGATAGGGTGCGGAGGGTGGTGATTATTGAGATGACTCGCGAGGATGGACCGAAGATGATTTTGGGGTTCAGTTGGTCTTGGTTGTGGCAACTGGGAGAGTGGATGGGAAGGAGGAGGGACAGCGTAGTAGGCGGTGAGGCGGGCGGGATACGGGGGAAGAGGGGTGCAGCGTCCCAGACTGTGGAGTAGCAGAAGTCGCACCTGTGGGTGTTAGGCTGATGGATGTGAGGTGTAAGGGATTGTTCTTACCAGGTTACGATTCGCCGGAAGACGCCTTTGAGGGATTGGATGCCTCCGCGCATCCAGATCATCATTTCAAGTCCTTTCATATGAATTTGCGAAAGCTCATATCGGCCATTTAGATTCTGTTTAGTATTCCCGTCAGTATCTGTCGCGGGGATCTTTGCGGCTGAATTACCTCTTTGTTGACAAGCATCGCAACTGCACCAATGGTCTGGTCACTGAATACACCATTTACATCCGCTAATCGTTCGTTTACCATCCTGAATGCTTCACCGCCATGGTAGAGGCATACAGCAGAGTCTTGAACTCCATTTCTGAGATCATAATGCAGTGCGACCATGTAGAGAATGGAGTGGAATAAGGCAGGGTCGATTTTGACGTAGGAGAAGAAATCTCCTTCTGGGTTGACTGCGACGGAGTTCATGTTGTATGTAGTCAAATCTAGAGGGCAGAAGAATGTCAGCATTGACCAACCAAAACAGGAAAGGAATGGCCCTGCTGTAGATGACAAGGAATATGGAAGACTGGGAATAGGGATATGTGCATAATGAAGCGTGGGGTATCTGACAATGAACGAGTAGATTTTCACTGTCTGGTCCCAGCTGTATGGCAAGGGTCTCAAAAGGATCCAAAAGGCCATTGATAGAAAATACTGAATTAGGCAATCGCCCCGCATTCACCGCTTGCCATTCTCGATCCTCGACCCCTCCATTTCCTCTCTGTAGAACGATTTCCTGGCTCACTACCCCATCTTCTACATCTCCTGGCCTTGCTTTGCGAGTATTCAACGATTTCGTCTTAGCCTTGTGCGTCCAACTGTTTAACTTGAACCTCCCCTTATACTGGGAAGGCTCTTCAAGAGTCACGGGTGGTGGCAAAATTTCGGGGACACCTGTAATCGCCTCTTTGGTTTGTTTGCGGAGATAATCACGCATTGCTTGAGTCCGTACTTGCTTGGAAGTTCTATTGGTCGTCATTGCTGATGGCTGACTGGTGATCGTAACGAACTCGAAAGTTCTGGATTCCAGAGGCGAGGAGGGATCTGAGTTGTCAGTTGGATTAGATGTATCAGGGATGGCGATCTTGAAAATGTTTACTGATTGGACTTAAGGTCAGTCCGCGGCTGGAACGAAAAGGGATCGCGAACGTACTGTTTTTATTGCTCAAGGCTGAACGCCTTGGGCTTGGATCTGCGCCATCAACATCGTGGGCTTTGGCTTTCGATCCTCCGGGCAGGCGAACTCGTGCAGGTGGTGGATCTCTGAGTTGGGCTTGATGTGTTTCGGTCATGTTGATTTTCGGCAATGCAAGAACTTTCCCTATAATTGGTTCAGAGACCTGATGGTGAATGCTGTTCTCGATGTTGAGGTTCTCGTTGATCCTTTTCTTTTCTGAATTACCAGTCTTGTCTTGCCGCTATGACAAAGCTAAGACTAGTTCTTGTTTATGTGCTGAAAAACCGTGAAACAATTGCTGATAAAACGATCGAGGTTTGCGACAATGTTGTGGCTCTGCGCCGTGCTTACAAACTGCAGATCGCGCAATGACCGAATCGGGAAAAAATGGCATCTCGGTAAAACTGGGGCGAATATGACCAGGGCATGCCATTTCGAGGTGATTGGCCCGCTGGTTGGTATCCTCCAATTGCACTTCCCTTTCCGAGCACACTGATAGCAAAGACAAAACTCTTCGGCGTTAGGCTTTCGTCGAAACAGTGGCCGGTGCAGAGTTTGCCAACTCGAAGGCAACGCTTTCAATGGGGAGGAAAGTCGACGAAGCAGGTCATCTCAAATGCCGAGACCCCTCGTTTCTACAGTGCTGAGATGTTGGAAGCTGTTGAGATTCAGAGCTTTAGAGTCTTGAACTTTTGCTCACTCAAGCAGAACAGTCCCTCCCTTCCTCACAATCCACTGGTTCACATCATCAACACCTTTGTAGCACACCAACATCAACACTCCCAACTCATCAACCTCGCTCAGGTCTCCCTTCGCCATAAGCTCTGTGAAGTCCATCTTGTGCAGATAGAATCTCTTGTTCTGCTTGCAAGCTTGTTGCCAGTGCACAGCAGTAGGAGCGTACCACAGCGCTTTCTGGGCAGTGAACGACATTTCAGTCACTGCTTCAACCAGCGTACAAAAGCCTTGCTTCACAATCATGAACATTGCCTGCACCATCCTTGAGACAATGACCGTTCTCGAAACTGCTTCTTCGAAGACCCAATTTTCCCAGGAGTTGGATACAGCAGTTTCCGGTGAAATGTTGGCGCCTGTCCGGGCAACGAGACGATCGGTCCAGTCAACAAGTGTATTCTCACTCGCTTCCGCATCTGCACGAGCACGGATATCTCCATCAAAAAGACGGATGATCTGGTAGATTACCAAAGCCTGAAGACATGTCAAGTGCTCTGCAACACTCCATGAGGCTCGTGCCTCCATCAGAACCGCCACTTTCGCCGAGACGATATCCCACATGATAGCTTCATTTTTCTCGTTTTTACTTAGGTACAGCGCAGACGCTGCGATCGCATCTTGCAGTGGCGAGGGAATTAACGGCCATGCGTGGCTTGCTTGGGGATGAATGAAAGGCGCTTTGCCATTTTGTACGAGGAGAGTGGGGTAAGTTTTCATTTGGCGGATGAGGAAGCGGATTCTCGAGCGGTCCATAACCCCCAGTTCGCAGTCGTAGGGATCCCGTCTGCTTGACATGGCGTAATTGTTGAATGCTACGAAGAGGTTGTCGTCAATTGTCAAGTTGCCTGCTTCCACCATGTTCATGCTCAAATTGGGAGGGAACACCCCAGGGAGCAAGGGCATTGAGACGTCCTGAAAGCCAGGCTGCTCAACGAACATGTTGTCCAAAGGAGGAACCTGTGTATTGCTACTACCAGGTTGGAAGTTCCCGGTAAATTGGCCATTGGGCAAAGGGGCCAAAATGTCCGTCTCCGCAGAATGATGGCGCGGAGTGGACTTGTACAGGCAGCGGAGATCTTTTGAGGTGCAGCGCGAACACTTTGGGCTACCTCGATCGCATTGCCGCTTCGAGTTGGCACATTGCTCGCAGGATTTTTGCCGTGACCTCGTTGGAGTATTCATATTTTTGGTAAATCGATGGCAGAGGCTTCTTCAGACTCATGTTTTCAAGGTATCTCCCTTGGACCCCTGCTCAGAGAAAGGGTCAAATCGTCCTAAGAGTCCGAGAGCTGACAAGCTACACATTCGGTTTATCAAGAGCGTCTTGATTCGAATCATAGATGACCATGCATTATATATGCATTTGAGCGGATGCTAGCTGAGCAAAAGTTCGAGATTTGCCTAGAATTGATAAAATTTTGATGAAAGGACGGGTTCATGTCGAGGAGCAAAGTCAGCAAATTTGCCCCACTATCAAGGATCGTCCAGCCAATAACAGAAACTCCACTGCACCCACACCCCACCAAACTCCGCAAGCTGCGGAGTTTGCAACACTGCTTCGACAGCACCTGCGGAGATTCTTCTATCATCTCAGCTCACATAAAATTATGCTCGTCCCTCTCAGCCTTTCAGACTCCGCAGATGATAGAGTTCTGGGTCAATCATCCTTCACCATGACGTACCCAAGCGCGCAGAATCTCCGCATGCTTCGAAACCCATCCTTGGAGGATGAAGAATCAAGAGTAGTGACTGGAGGTGGAGTATCTTGGCACTCTCCATTTCGAGGTTGCCAGTCTCCTTTCCGCTATATATACAGCGGGTTCAGTCGAGATGATGGAAGGACATCACCTCTGCCAAATACATCGGCACGAACAATATTTTCGACATCAATCCGTCAATAAAACATGTCTTTCCCAGCCAGCTTACCAAAAGCCGTGACCGCCGTTCTCGAATCCATCAATAGCAAGAGCAGCACAGATTTCTGCACGGCTTTCTCGTCAGATGGCATCATAATTGACGAAGGCCGAACCTGCAAGGGTCACTCCTCAATCGAAGCCTTCTTCAAAAATGCCTTCATCTCGCACTCCGCCTCAGTCATCTTTAAGAATGCAAACCAAGTAGGAGAGCACATCATCATCCAAGTAACAATGGATGGCGACTTCGTCGCTGACTACGGCATCACCGAGCCCTTCATCCTCTACTTCAACTTCCACCTCCACTTCAACAATATCACCTCCCTCCTCATCACGCCCTGGGACTCCTCTAATCCAACCATGACCGCCGTCTACGTCGATAAAGGTAGCATCGATGATCCCATCTCCGCGATCAAAACCGCACCGAGACTACAGCCAACTCCTCAGGAAGGTTGGGTGAGAGTCAAGATGCTGGCGGTAGGCCTAAATTACCATGATATCTTCACCATGCGCGGGCTCGGCATGCGAACTCCAAAATTCCCTCTCATTCTCGGCTGCGAAGGAGCAGGTGTGCTTGACGATGGGACGGAAGTCCTCTTGTACCCCGCCATGGGGAATCCGAATTTCAAAGGCGACGAAACACTGGATCCAGAACGCCATGTTCTCAGCGAGCAGACGGATGGGACATTAGCCGAGTACGTAAACGTCCCGCTTCGGAATGTTGTGCCGAAGCCGAAGGGGCTTGAGACCATTTCAGCTGCTGTGTTGGGCATTGCGTGGTTGACGGCTTACCGGATGTTGTTTACGAAGTCGGGGTTGAGAGCTGGACAGACGGTGTTAGTTCAGGGAAGCTCGGGCGGTGTGACGACGGCGTTGATTCAGATGGGTAGTGCGGCGGGCATGCGGGTTTGGTGTACGGGAAGGACGCAGGAGAAGAGGGAGTTGGGGCTGAGACTTGGGGCTGAGAGGGCTTTTGGGTCTGGTGAGGAGTTGCAGGAGAAGGTAGATGCGGTGTTTGATACTAGCGGGGAAGTAACTTGGGAGCATTCTGTGAACTCTGTTAAGGCTGGAGGGACTGTTGTGACTTGTGGTGGTCATAGTGGAAGCTCGATCCCGCTGAATGTTCAGAAGGTATTTGTTGAGCAGCTGAATATTCGGGGGTCGTACTTGGGTACCTTGCAGGAGTTCAAGGACCTGATTTCTTTTGTTGTCTCAAAGGCCATTGTGCCGCATGTTGGTCATGTACTTCCTTTGCGCGAAGCCGATGTTGGATTTCGCGCGATGCTCGAAGGGAAAACCGCAGGAAAGATCGTTGTGACCTTGTAATGCTTCCTGATCGTACAGTACCATTAATATAGAATACATCATCGACCTCCATTCTCGCACTTGCTGAAGAGGCCGCAACGAATGGCCTAAGGATCTTGACGGGCTGCTGTCACGTGCAATAGCATAATGACGACTTTGCCACCACAATGCAAATCTAACATCCGCTCCCATCTGAAAAGTTGCGTATGTAAATTACCTGAAAATAACCAAGTAGCTTTTAGCACATTCAAGAGAGAAGCATCACTTCTCCTCCAAGACTCCATCAATGTAGGTGTCCACTTTCTCATTGTAAAAGCACATTAACCCTTGAATAGCAGCAGATTCATGGGTTGGGTATTCATACCACCAAATGACATCCTTGTATTCTTTCCCTTCTACCGTCACGTTGTAGTACTGTGCCAGACCTTTGTAGGGGCATTTACTCGTCGTTTCGCTCTTGGAAAGGTATTCCCATTTAACCTGTTCCCATCAACTTCTGCTGCCCCAAAATTCGAAACCAGGATCGGAATTAGACTTACAGATGTTTTCGGCAGATAGAATCGCGTCCGTAGCTCAGTCTCAAAAAGAAAGCTCGGGTTACTCGACTCCGCAATTGTGACGCCCCCAAGCTTAACCTCGATTTTCCGTGACGAAGGCAGGATATCAATTCTTGTATACGGGTTCTTGGGATGGTCGTAGATTTGCTGATCTTCTTCGAACCATGCATCTGCCATAACCCCTTTAATTCCATTCTCTGAACTTCCGGAAACCTCAATTACTTACCAGCAGCTTTGAACTCCACCCTTACAAACCCTTTCAACAGCCCATTCTCTGAGATGATAACTCGATCTGAAGTCTTATCTTTCACTTTAATTGAAGCGCGGAAGGCGACACCATCTGGATCGTAGGGAGCGAGTTTGGTGAGAATGGAAGTATCGAAGGCTGAAATGGGAACCCAGAATTGGGGAAAGTATTTGTGTTCCCAGACATGCAAAGCGGAGGTGGTATCGAAGAGGTAGGTACCGTTGAAGAGGGCGCGGACACGGCGGGGCGTGGGTTCTACCTTTACAGGGCCTGTGGTGATGAGGTTTGCTGCGAGTTGTTCGAGGCTGTGATCTGTCAGAAGGCGAGGAGGGAAAGGTGGGGTGACGAACTCGGCCATTCTGGTGAGGTTTCAAGTTTATTTCAGATTGATGGGGGAACCGTAGATGCTGGCGGTTCAGAAAAGTATAAGTTGAGATTTGGGATGGTATTTGATCTGAAATGTCTGGTGAATTGTACGCCTTTCGAGGTGTCTTGGTAATCATGCATGCCGTTCTCTGCAATGGGAAATAATTGGATGACGCGTGTAGATAGTAATCAGACTTGCATCGTGGATTCGTCAGAAGTCTTCTGCTTGAAAATCACCGTGGATTTCAGGCTGAGGAAGTAAGCTAGGAGCATACTGATCGGCGCCTCGTACGAAGATCCCACAGCCTCCTCTGTGGAGATGTGGAACTGAAATCAAGATCACGTGATTTGATATGCCATCTACAAACATTCGGGCGTGCTCTGAAAGATTGATACCGTCAACCCGAGGGTAGATCTTTATATGTCAAAGCTGCAAGAGAGAAGTGATGGAGCATGAGTAGTGCAGAGGGCAGAGGAGGGGAAGAGATAAACTTGAGCATTGATTCGATCCTCTCTCTTATGGGAGCTGCAAGAGGAACAGTCCCGACTGCAGAGCGTCGTGAAGAATTCAAACGTCTTATTTGCCATCGCGAAAAATACAAATTGAAAGAAAGAGGAAAATTGAACAATCAGAGAACAAGATAATGGAAGGCGCGATGTTAGCGTGTCTATCACGTGTCCGCGAAACGACCTTCGTTTGCCCAGTTTCGAATTTTCAACGAAACCACAAACAATTCCTCAAATTGAATCAACGCCTACAAGATCCCAACGCGTCTTGAACTTCCTTTTTCTGGAAAAAGTGGCTTACGAGGACCTTCTCTGACAGTTAACCAACAGCAGAACTGACAAGTAGGGAAAAGTAATACAACGTCCGAACACGCCACTATGGCGGGGCATGATGACCAGGATGCCCCGCGAGGCTCCAACGTCATACTCAGTTGGTACGACAGAACCCGGCCGATGTTCATCGACCTGGTTGGCGATTATGCGGGCAAAGAGCTTTTTCTAGTTGAGGGCGACTCGCTGCTCAGAGTATGCTTCGAAGACGAGCGAATTGATTTCGAAGGTAAGCCCACGGCGCATCTTCCCGATTTGCATTGACCCAGCCACCTTTCTCTTAAATGCATGGGACGCGGTATCATTTCTCAGCGTTGTAAATGCGCGCCCTGGCACTGCTCGACCCTCTGGTTGTAGCACCACGTTCAGATTTCAACGATTTGAACGCATCATGATGTCTTCAGCTATCTTGCATTCCGTCCAGACCATCAGAGCACCATTCAACAAAACGTCTGCTAATTCTTCCAGATGGATTTCAATTGCTTCATGCAGTTTATGTTGCCGAGCGATTTCTGGAGAATCTGGTCAAGCGCCACTGCCAGTTCCACATCGCGTTTTTTGAAGGTAATCTCTGATGAGTCCATTGTTTTTGATGGCTTGTTGATGAAGGCTTCAGAAAATGCCGAGCTCTGCATGCCTCCTGGAACGGCGGGTACTCGTAGATCTCGATACCTCTTGGCCCGGTCCATCATCAAACGCCATTTGGCGGTCCACCTTCCGGATGCGCACCCCAACTTGCAAGTCAACGTATTTTCCTCATTGAAGTGTTCCGAGTTCCAGGAGTATCTCCGTTTGTGCCCCATCCATTTCGTGATGGCTCATGATGGATCACCTAAGTCGATTACATCAGCCCCTGCTGTTAATCATCTCGATGCCGATATCATGCCAGCGGATGACGACGAGAAATGGACCAAAATTCTTTTGCGTGGAATGATTCGAAGCTTCAACGTCCACCGGTTTAACGTAGCTTTGATCAATCGAATCGAATTCCGAGACTCGAAAGCTTTCACGATGATTGTTGAAAGCTTTATTCCGCGCAGACAGACAAAACTTACCGTGGATATCGAATTCGCCGATGCGATCAAGGAAGCTAAAGAGCTATTAGAGAAATCTTGGGAGACATCAGATATTGAGGCATCGTTCGAGGACCAAGATCTGGAAAAAGTATCTGAAGCCTTTTCCGAAGAAGACTTGAATGAGAGTTACTGCTTGGTGACATACGCAGTGTCAAAGATTCTGAAACAGCAAGAATGTGACGCCTTCTTGGCCTCCGCATTTGTATTGCACAGCGTCATTATCAAGCATATCCCTCTCTCTCAGCGCAGACTACCTCTGATTACATTCGACGAAGAGTTCGAGGAGCAGATCGAATCATTTTTGGAGGCGATCTCGGAAGTGTGTCGAAATGCGGTAGAAGACAAGAGATGGAATGAGCTCATGTCGAATGAAGAGTTTGATTGCGACTCTATTGACCTTATTGATGGTCGGCTATTCCGAGCCGTTATGCAGGCCATGTGCGACAATTCGCTCCATGGTGTGGTTCCTCGAGCGGCTCAACCCGACTGGGCCCTTCTCTCTGGTCTCGTCGCGGAGCTCGGGGATGAAACCCTCAGTCTTGCCGGAAGCATAGAACCAGCATTTTCAAAGTCTACGGCAGACAAGGCTGACTTTGAGGGTGAGGTAGAGGAGCTTACAGTCCTGCCCTTCACAAACTCAGTTTTTGACAAGCACTTAGAATGCATTCATGTCAAGACTAATGCATCACTTGCTGTTCGTTTTGGTGCAATGAAGATCTATAGGGAGACCACACATTGGCACAACCATAGGAAACCTCTCAACCCGAAATATGCCCCGGCGGCAAAGGTTTCCAAATGGAGGTATACAATTCACCAAACCAAACCATTTCGCTCTACATGATCTATGACGACTGACTTTGCCTAGAAACCCCCTCCGCACAAATCAATTCTACATGAAGGAGATGACGACATATGCAGCCAGTTTGACTGGCGCAAAAGGAAAAGCCCTAGAACCTGAGACCCTCACTGTTGGATCAAAGCGCCTTGTTAAATTAGTGGAGGAAAAACCAGAGAAGGCAGCCGCCAAGTCGAGGAAGGACGAAGCTCAAGACACTCCGACGCAAAATAAATCCGGCGGAGGAAAGAAGGGAACGAAGAAGGCTGCAGCGGGGCTTTCAAAGAAGGAGCAAATGATCGCAGATAACAAGGAGAGGAAAGGATCTTCCGAGTCAGATAAGGCGTTCACTGCCTGGAGTACAATCATGAAGGGTCTTGATGTCATTTCGGATGACCAGGACAGATACCTGAGGACAGTCGACTATTTTAATGCCTTGGACTCGGCGAAAACGGCATTCCTCGAGGCTGACATCCATACTTACATGATCCAATCTCTCTTGAATTGGTGGGCTATGTACTGCAAAGTCAACAAGAAAGCTGAAGGATACTTTGTTGTGGCTCTAATCTGGACCACGTTCAGAGCAATCTGCACCTCGACCTCGCCAATCTCAAAAGAAAACATACAGCACGTCACAAAATTGTGTACGCTTTTGGGCATCACGAATGCATTAACGTCTTTCGATTCGACCCCCATCGACCGGAAGCTGTCATTTGTCTTCAAATATCCACCCTCGGCGCAGGACCTTCGAATTGATATTTCACAGACGGAGCTTCAGCTGAATTACTGTGGCCCATATATGGACCGAATGCTAGATGCTAAACCTGATCCACGAGTGTCAAGTTTTGTCCCTGACGGATGGCAACGCGATGTTCTCGACCAATTGGATGCTAACAAGAGTGTGTTCGTCGTCGCTCCTACTTCCGCAGGAAAGACCTTCATATCTTTCTACGCCATGGAACAAGTGTTAAGAGCTGACAACGATGGGGTTTTGGTTTATGTTGCGCCGACGAAGGCACTGGTCAACCAAATTGCTGCCGAAATCCAGGGTCGCTTTTCGAAGAAATTTCCGGTTCCCGGCAAAGGCGTCTGGGCCATACACACCAGAGATTACCGTGTCAACAACTCTACGGGTTGCCAGATTCTTGTAACAGTTCCACATATTCTTCAAATCATGCTTCTATCCCCCAGCAATGCGAAGTCTTGGGCACCGAGAGTACGACGAATCATCTTTGACGAAATCCATTCCATTGGAAATTCTGAGGATGGTGTTGTATGGGAGCAGCTTCTCCTACTTGCTCCATGTCCAATCGTTGCCCTGTCTGCAACCGTCGGCAACCCGGAGCAGTTCAACGACTGGCTTAAGGATACGCAAAAGGCTCTGGGATCTGACTTGAAGATGATCCAACACTCAACCCGTTACAGCGATCTCCGAAAATACATGTATGAGCCTCCCAAGGTGTTCCAATTCTCTGGGCTTGGCAAGTCATATGGTGTAGGTCTTGGACTTGATGGGTTGCTCGGCTTTGATGCATTCCATCCTGCGTCAAGTCTCGTTGACAAATCTCGGGGGATGCCAGATGACTTAGCTCTCGAGCCTCGAGACTGCCTCTCGCTTTGGAAGGCCATGTGCAAATTCCAGAATTCTGAATATCAGGTTCCGGAATCGTTGAATCCTGAGAAGGCGCTCCCAGCTTGCATTCGGAAGGCCGATATATTCAAGTGGGAGAAAGCCCTCAAGAAGTTGCTTTTGCAATGGTTGGCAGACAAAAATTCCCCGATCGATAAAGTTGTCAAGGAATTGACACCTACGACAAGCACACTGAAGCTTTTGACCTCAGACAAGGCACTATCTAGCAATTCTTCGGCAAGCGATGGCGAGTACATTGACCCGTACGACTTGAAATCCACAACTTTGCCCTTGTTGTATCAACTCCATAAGCGCCGAGCCCTGCCAGCGATTCTCTTCAATTATGACAGAAGCCAGTGCGAAAGAATTGCGGAGTCCGTGCTAAAACAACTCGTCGCGGCCGAGACTCTGTGGAAGGAGGGTCCACAGTGGAAGAAGTTGATGGAAGGGTACGAAAAGTACAAAGAACAGAAAGACAAGAAGTCTAGGAAACCTACAAAGCCTGCGAAGAAGACGAAAGGCGAAGATGATGAGGGAGGCTCCAAGGTTGACCGGATGCGCGAAGAATCATCCGACGGGGCCTCTGCGTTTGATCTTTTCGACCCGGAGGCGCCTCAAGAAGATTTCAGCTTCGCCAATCCAAAAGCGCTCCAGAAAGCTGAATTGGATGAATACATTCGTGCCCTCCGATGGAAGAACGTGAAAGAGGACTTACTTGACTTGTTACGGAGAGGAATCGGTGTGCATCACGCTGGTATGAATCGAAAATATCGACAATGTGTGGAAATGCTGTTCCGGAGAGGATTCTTAAGAGTTGTCATCGCAACCGGAACTCTCAGTCTTGGTATCAATATGCCGTGCGCTACTGTTGTCTTCTGTGGCAACTCGGTGTACCTGACAGCACTGAATTTCCGCCAGGCTGCCGGTCGATCCGGGCGTCGTGGTTTTGACCTTCTTGGTAACGTGGTCTTCCAAGGCATCTCAAGAGAGCGTGCCAGCCGTCTCTTAAGTTCCAGACTCCCGGAGCTAACAGGACATTTCCCAATCACCACAACCTTGGTCCTGCGACTCTTCACCTTGCTGCACGACTCAAAGAGCTCTCCGTATGCGGTCCGGGCTGTCAACTCGCTGCTTTCTCAGCCCAGGCTTTATCTGGGTGGACAGAGCTTCAAAGAACAAGTCTTGCATCATCTTCGATTTTCAATTGAGTATCTTCGCAGAAATGAGCTGCTTGGTCCCGCTGGAGAGCCGGTGAACTTCACCAGTTGTGTCTCGCATTTGTATTACACGGAAAACTCTAGTTTCGCTTTCCATGGTGAGAATCAGCCCTCCATATCCTCTTCTAAATGCTGACTGATTCATGTAGCACTCCTCAAAGGAGGATATTTCCACAAGCTTTGCGCTGATATCGATACCAAGACAAGCATCGTCCTTGACAAGTTGATCTTGGTTCTCTGTCATCTGTTTGGACGCCGAGTATGCCGCGAAGTTGATAATCCGGAAGAAGCCGAAATGATCAAACGTTCTCCTTCGGTCGTCTACCTCAAGCCGATGCCCGAAGATGCTGCCAAAATCCTTCGAAAGCATAATGCAGACACTCTCGACGTTTTCACCACCTATGTCAAGACTTTTGCTGCTCAGCACCTCAAGGAAGAAGAACGTTACCTTCCTCTGACGCACATCCCGGTCGGATTCGTCCCACCTTCTGCGAATGGGAAGGCCAACGGTCACGCCGTACCAAATGGAGGTGCTCATCCTGCGAAGCCTGCCAAGGATAACGAAAATTTCGAGTTTCTTCCAAGTCTACCTGTCCCACATGCTAGATCAACTTTCGTTGCTTTGTCAGGCTTGGGTGATGAGTTTACGACGATCGATGACCTTTGTTCTTCCACTCGCGAGGGCGTATTTCTCGAATCGGCCGTCATACCGCATCTGGAGCTCCATCCAGACGAGTGCAGAACCCCACTCAATGCTTACATATTGGATTTCTACATGCATGGATCCCTTGATCCATTGGAAAAGGCTAATGGTATTCGCAAGGCAGATGTAAGTCTCTCCTGTCGATTTCCTTACTGACCACTTTCGCTGACCCTTCATCGAAGGTATGGTTTCTATTGAACGACTTTTCCATGGTCCTCGCTACCATCGTGACCTCAATCGCTCTCCACCTTGGTCTTGGAAACGATACAGATCCCGAGATGCTCGATGTAATGGGCGCTGGTGACGCAGCTGAGAACGAAGCCGACGAAAAGGTTGCCGCCACAATCATACCCGATGCTCTTGCAACCTCAGCCGCTACTGCTCAGGTTGCAACCCCGATCCGAAAGAGCAAGAAAGTCGTCGATGATTGGGATGCAGGCGAAGATGCCCTGGTTGCTCAAGAGGATTATTTGAAGAGCGAGGGCTTGAATGGAACAGGTGCGACTGACGATGAGGAGTATGATAAGTTGATGAATGTCTATAAGGCATTCAGGCAGCTGAAAAGTGCATTTGATGAGAAGTTCCACGCTATTTTCGCTTAGACTGGATCTGGATATGGCGGTGTTGGATGGAGGTTAATAGACATCAGGTGCTTTTGATTGAGTCTGTTTCTTGGGCACTGTTTGGAATAGAGCTAAAATAGCATAGACTGGTAGACGAATTGATGATTGTTACTATATCAGCCCTGGGAGAAAGCCCACCCGTCGCAAAGATGAGTTCACGAGTATTTAGTATTGTTTTCAATCTTGCGATAATCAATTGAAGTACAGTGACCATCCTCTGCACAGTTAACCCAATTCCAGAAAACATCAAGAAAATGAAACTGCGTTTAACGTCCAGAAACAGAACACCAGAGTAAATACAGGAACTCCATTCTCCCAATACACCTCAATGATCAAAATGACAATCCACAGCAGCCAAGCATCCACTCACGACATTGTCCTCAGCCCTGGAAGGCTGCGCCTTTCTCCTCACCACAACATTCGTCGGATACCTGTTCCCAAGAAATCAAATTCAGCATCTTCTTTTAGGTATGTTCGGAAGCAGCATGTTTCAGGAGCTGCGCGACATTGCTACAAGATGGACTGATACTCGAGAAGTCGGGACTTACTTCGGCTTCAATCGTTGCTCTTGCTCAATTATCTCATCTTTCAACCTCGCATCTTCATTCCCAAGTCTATGTTTCTGCCCATCTACCAAACTCGTCAGCAACCTTCAATCGAACTTCCACAACTCTGGACTTGAGCTTTTGGGACGGGGGACTCACAAAACCACTCAACCTCCGTCCTCAGCGCAATAAACGCCCCCTTCAACACCTCGCTATTCCCAAGCAACTCCATATTACTCCCCTCCCTCCAATCCAAATACAACGGAGTGCTCGCCCGAAACAGCGCCGCATACACCGATGTCAGTATATGATACATATGTTTTGACGCCTCGATCAGGACTTCGGCGTCTGCGGCGTCGTGCTCGAAACATATGGTAGTCGAGCAGTGTTGGCTGAATTTGTAGGCTGTCATGCAGTCTCGGTATGTTAGGATGAGTGTCCAGAGAGTTGTCCAGAGGGGAATCATGTTCTTTTGACCGGGCCCTTTGGTGCTGTAGACGAGCTTTTCGAGGTTGTCGAGCAGTGTTAGTTCGGCGGTGCGGATCCCGTCTTTGATTATGAGGAGGAATTGGGAGACGACGGTGCGTGAGATGTGCTGTTTGTTACGGTTGGGGTCCAAAGGGGACTGAGTGCTGCTGGGATCCGGCGAGGTGGTCATCTTGCAGTTTCGCCAGCAACGGAGGAGTTTGAGGATTGTCACGGCACTGTTGAGCATTTCGTACATGGGCACGTCTGGTTGTTCTGCACAGTAGCGTTCCATGAACTCACCTAGCGAGAGCATAAAGCGCTTTACGGTACTCTCATTTGGAGAATGTACATCGAGCTGGATCCAGTCCAGGAGCTGTCTCACTGTCGGGAGGCTCTCCGGGGTAAGCGCATACCTCTCGCTAGTAACCCTCTTAAAGATGGGCGTAGATTTGTCGTAACCCACAAGGCAATCAGACTCTAGCGGAGGGGCGTTGACATATGGCACGGAGTAGTCTTGAACTTCCAGCAGCAACGGCCTGCGAGTGATGGTATCGGTCCCTCGGAAAAGGAGGTTGCAAGCAATAGTCCTCTTCTTTCCATGGAAAGCGCCAATTTCTGTCTGGAGCAATTCTTCTGTGTAGCACTGGGAGAGGAAATCTGATATTGTCAGATTCGAAGTTCAGATGTTGGGCAGGGTGTCTACCAAAACTCGTCTCGCTAAAGCGGAGCTCCAGCAATGTTTGACGAATGCAAATGTGTTTCGCGAGGCTGATACTATCTGCTGCCTTCCTGCATGGAGGGCAGGGACCTGGGAAATCGCACTGGAAGGAATCAGATGTGATGTCAACACGAAATCTGGCCCGAAACCCACCTTGACTCTTCGTGCTTTACATCTCGAGCAAGACCCTACTTTTCTGATCACCGCCACCTTTTTGCGGGTCTCCTGATCAAAAGCCTGCCTCTTCCGTCTGTTTTCTTTCGGATCACTGTGGATAGAGAAGCATCCGACATGTTCCTCCATTTTGCGCTTGTTTCCGCCACTACTTGTTAATGCGGAAGGTTGATTGGAGCTTGAGTGGTTGGTGCTTGCACCACTGTTATTCACGTGCACCACGGCACTCATGCTTGACGGGGCTGGAGCCTCATCATACTGGGCGGCCACGTAGGTTGCAACATTTTCCGACCACGAGGCTGTTGGCTGTCTCACAATCGGCACTTCAAACTCCAAGTAGTTGGCTTCTTGGCCAACACCTGAATATGAAAATTCGTCTGAGTGGATGGTGGTGTTGTATGTAGGAAATTCTTCAAGCCGGGGTTGATGAGGCTGGGGCTGGACATTAAATCCCTCATCATCCGCAAAGGTGCGAGCTTCCATCCACCACGGGTACCCCCCATCGAGCTGATCGAAATAATTGAAATCCATCTCGTCGAGATTAGCCGTCTTGAAATAGGAAGTCAAGAGTGTCGATCGAGAAGATCCCGAAACATGGATTGTGGGAATTCATATACGTTGCTTGGAATGGGCTGCAAGGCTGTGGGATAGTTCCTAGAGGGGATATTCGGTGTGCAGGTCGTCGAGTGAGGCTGGCGAGAAACTGGGCGAATCCAAACTCTGCTTTCAAGCCACCATCCTGAACGCAGCTGGGAATGTAACCACGGCAAAAGAGCCTAATGGAGAACCTCGGCTCCGTTGAGTCCAATCATTCCCATAAACATGGGTCTTGCAACTTCGGCTGTGTTGCGGGAAAATCAACCACTTGCAGGGCTCAAAGTGAGGCTGTCGCCTCTCCTAGTTGACCGGGCGAGAATAGGGGTTAAGCGACAGTCACGTGTCTCCACTTCAAGTTGCCTGGCGCATTCCGCTCGAGTCCTCGGCCCTGACGGAATTCCGCAGATAAAGCCGACCGTATCCCTCCTACAGCCATGCCAGCTGGCTACCAGCGGATGATCTTCAACCATCGATGAGGTAGACTTGGTCAGGTTTTGTGGCTCGAGGCGGCAAGCCTAAAGCATCCAGTGTCAAATCACACAATACACTTCTACCAATGTCCTGTTGTTTATATAATGATTCATATTATATTCCACGAATTTGAAGGACTAATTTTTCATAGCATTTACTATAATAGATAAAATTGAGCGAGTTAAATAGTAAGAGCTTGCTATTAAAGCTATTAAACAAAGAGAAAAGCGGTGGCTAAATGAAGCAAAAGAGCGTGGAGAGGTTAATAAGTTCGTAAAGAAGAAGCTCAAAGAGGAACGGGAAGAGGGCGGGGTCCAACGTCAATGTCGCATCTCCGGCCATCTCTACTTCTTCTGTGGCAAAGAAAATGAAAGTTTGGAATAACGAAGCATTACCTTCTTCACGGGAAAGGCAAGCTAAAAGAAGGCATAATAACAAGACGATAATTCTCAGAAAATCTGCCTTTCTCACAAACAACTCTCTTGTCGATCAAGTGCCTAGAATCCCCAACCATCAGTTCAAAACCCCCACTTCAGGATACTCTCCACTCTCCCCACCACTCAAAAGTCCCTCTCCCCTCCTTGGATCCATCACCCACCGAAAGAAATCCCTCAAATAATCCGCTAACACCCCCACCACCCTCTCCCCACCCAATAGTCCCAGCAATCCCTCCTCCGTCTCGTTACCCAACCCATCCCTTATCCTAGTCACATCAGCAACAAGCGGTAAATCCCAAAAACTCCCATGCGCTCCCCCGCTAAACTTAATTCCCGCTTCCAAACTCCCTGTTTATTTAAGGTTGACCAGAATTTTCCCCAGCTTTCGTCCGATGAGGAATTATGACCTTCCGCACCCCAGAGAAGAAATTTCCTATTTCCTGGTAACTCGAAGCCATTTTCGATAACCGGACCCCAAAGCAGCCCATCGAGGTTCACTCCCCCCCGGATGCGGGAATCATTTCCCATAGCAGCCGCAGTAGCAGCTCTACCGAAGGAATGTCCGAACATGGCTACTTTCGCTTTTTCCCTCTCCTTGAACCCAAATTTGTTTAAAATGAAAGAAACATCTTGGCTGCGAATGTCGAGAGAGAAGAGAATAGACGAGAGATCGGAGGTGTTGGTGTGTCCTCCATACGCAATCGTCCGATCTGGGAACTCCACGATGTCGGTTTCGAATGGGTGGTCTAGGGTAAGGATGTTGAAGCCACGACCCGCTACTTCTTGTGCGATAGCCGAGTAGAAAAATCGCGTTGTATTCAGTCCCCCCGAAAACAACACCAACGGAAAATTTTCATTCCTCTTGTGATGTTCAGGTTGGACGCAAAACTCCATAGAGATGTTACCTAGAATTCCTGCTGGCCAACCGTAAGGAAGGAGGATATTGTCTTCAGCGCCTGCCACGGTTGGGGACATATACGGGATTGTTTTTGTTTTTGAACAGTCGCCAGGAACGGGTGAGAATTCTGAGAGCATTATTCGCCGCTGAGGGATAGTGTCGAGGTTCCATGGGTCTTTCCTGCTCTTGTCCACGAGTTCGTGATTGCTGAGGGAGATGTGGAAGGGTCCTTTGGGTCCTGGGAGAAGAATTGCCTCGCAAGTACTGAAGAGAAGAATGGCGATGATGAGGGGAACCATTTCGTCCTCTGCCCTACCCAAACTGGAAAATATGTTACAAGTTGATAAATAGCTTGGAGATACATTCCATGTGGTCCAGGTTAAGTACTGCTCAGGTCCCAGGTAGTCGGGACAGATTCTCCCGGCTTACGTTTTTTATTGGTGGTTGGATTTACCCCGCAAAACGAAGATCCCTTCGAAGTGATTGGGTGACAAGTAATTGGGCAACGTTATACGGGACTTCGATTCGTACTTCTGGACTCTGCGGATCATTTTAGGAAGGCAGTTTGTGAGGCCAAGATGGGGCTTGCAGCAGATCGCCAACAAGACTCTCATGAGAGATTCAGGGTCAGAGATCTTGGCATCGGCGCGACACGAAGATTTGACTGGAATGAGGGGTAATTGATAAGAGAGGGAAGGAGAGCTCCCAGGAAGAGTTATTTGCACGGGTACCTGTAGTACGTACGCACATGGTCCGTATAACAACCCCCCAACCCTTTTTCAAATCATTGAATTCTGCGTCCTTACGTCGGCTCCAACATAAATAAGATGAAAGTAATCTTAACCCAAGCTTTAGATAGTACAAGATTTTAACAACAACCTGAGAGTGGGAATGTTCCAAAGGATAAGGAAAAGATAGAAAGAAGAGAAAGAGAGGTGTCCTTACCTCCGCATGTTGCATAAAGTGAACTATTACAGTTGAAGTTTGGACGCTGCTCATTTCCGCGATTCAACAAAGACAGAGATGAAATACTAAAAGAAATAGGACTGGGTCTCGAAGCGCTGGATATCGTGACACTTTGACTGGGCGAGAAGAAGTCTTGGTCGATTGAGGACTGATATTGAGCAGGTCATGGAATTTTGGCAAGCCAATAGCCAAGCCCAGATATATTGTTTAATTCACTAGAAAACACATAAAAAGGTGAACCGACGTGCTTCCAAGGTGGAAATCATATGATGCATAACCCATCGGACAAATGACACGTAAACCATATTCTAATTTCATTGCTTCGATGTCTTTAGGCATTTGATTGTTCTGTAAAGTCTGGTAGATTGTGTTATGTGAAATGCTCGAATTTTCCATGAATTACAGTACCTTGAATTTTTTGTGAGTAGAGTTAACACTTAGATATTCCAGGAGCTCTAGTTTGATGAGCTGTGTGGGGAGGCTTGGACATTCAGGCGTGCTGAAGCGTCTACCAAGATTACAGAGCTTAAATGCTCTGGAAGTTCAAGTACAATGAAAGACGTTTAAGTGAGCGTTTTCATATTTCAGTTCATTGGGAGCGCAGAAAGCGATGGAGGTTTGGAGCGGCCTCAAGTCCGCCAAACTAAATGGCCCTTCATTGTTTGGGTCTTTCAGGTAACATAATAAATTAATCAGAGTCTCCACGGACTGGCACTTGAACCGTACACACGTTGGAATTGCATATCATGGAACTGGAAAGTGGGGTCTCTCGGCTGTCGTGGATCTGCGAATGGATGCCTCCATCAATGTGAGACCCATATTGCACCTCCGCGCCACTCTGAGGTAAGTCAAGCCATCAATTTCCCTAAACTCACATTTCCGAGCAGCCCGAACACAAACCTTAGGGTTATGCTTCCCATGATAATCCTCAGCAACTCCTAAAACTCAAGGACCCCAATCTCACTCAAAGAGGCTGCCAGCGATCCCTCGAAGCCAGAAGTGCTTTCTAATCCCATGCGAAGTACAATACCCACGTCACTTGCTCGCCCCTTTCTCGGGCTCTGGATACCGCCATTCTGGCTCTCACAGATGTTCCGTCTGATGTTGATCTTGCCATTCCGGAGCTCCAAACCCTTGGTGACGGGCCAAATGGGACTGGGCGTGATACAGATGCTTTGAAACTCAAATGTGATCATGACGGACAGGTTCTCAATCAGGCTGAGTTGATTTTGGAAGGGGAGATGGTTTGGGGGGATAAAGCTGTACGCTGTGTGGATTTTCAATACATGAAGAAGGACTGGAATGATGAAAATGAGAAGGATGAGGATGGGAAATGGTGCGCACGCAGGACTAGCTGGAGAGTTCGCCACATCAAAGGTTTTGTCTCAAGCCTACGTGCTGCCAATGGAGAAAGTGCAACTGAAATTGTCGCTGTTGGTCATGGCAGCTTCTTCAGGAAGTCCATTGGGGAGTCTCGGGGTGGCGAGTGGGAAGCTACCCAGTGGAGAAGCTTTAGTTTTGACGAAAATGGGAATTGATATAGTTGACTGAGGATGAAATCTTCGTCTGGACTGGGTAGTACCATATCTTACTCCGTCAAGGAAAAGCAGAAATAGAAGAGCCCGAGGGTAATTGAAGTTGAAGGCGCGATTAAGAATGGCTATGGCCATGTCCGTGTCCATGATCATGGTGATGATCTGGCAAATTTGCATGTGTAGGATCAATCCACTTTACACCTTCTGGCGACTCAACAGGTTCCAAATCCGGCAAATTGATAGCAACAGCCTCTCCATCACTTCTCATCAAAACCTATAAATAAGTTAGTATTGGGACTTTTTCCAGAATCAATCAACCGGTCAAAAAGTAACGGCAACCTTTCCTCCTCTTCCTCGTGCCGTTCCAACACAGCCAGTCCTCACTTCTCCTGTCAGGGCCGTTCTCCACACTAGCCTGGGAGCCAACCCTCCTCTCAAAACATGAAATGGAAAAAGCATCAACTCACACACTCCAAAGCAACATCACTCTCAGCATTAATCTCCTGATGCGGCACATAAGGCGGTACGAAAATAAAATCTCCCGGCCCCGCCTCCGCCACGAACTCTAGCCGTCCCCCCCACCTCATCCGCGCCTTCCCTTTCAGCACATAGATCACACTCTCTAGATGCCCGTGATGATGAGCGCCCGTTTTAGCGTTCGGCGAGATGGTCACGGTTCCTGCCCAGAGCTTTTGCGCACCTACTCTGGCGAAGTTTATCGCTGCTGCGCGGGACATGCCTGTGCTTGTTAGAGAGGGGAGGGGATCGGAGAGAGGAAAGGGGGAGGGGAAGGGAGCAAAGGATACCGGGTGTCTGGGCGGTGTTGGCGTCAAGGGAGTCAGCGGGAATAACGCGGACGCCGGTGTGTTTCCATGCATCATCTGGGGCTGACGTTGGTGGCGGGGGGTGGGGGGTTGAGGATTCTACCATTTTTGGAGGAGATATGAGATGGAAAGGGGTATGTACAAGAATTGAAGGTTGGATGAGAGGAGGGGAGGGGTTTGAGGCTCTGTCAGATTCTGGATGGCGTGCTTGAGGTTGAGCGCGGAGGGTGGAGCTTCCCCACTTCTCGAGAGTACCCCGCTGTCACGTGCTAGCCCCTTTAAGTACCCTTTGATCTGGTTGAGGTTGATCTTGTTTCATTATTTAATTACTTGTATTATTTTGATGCTATAACCTTGATGTTAGCTCGCTTCTCAGAACTTGGTGCGGTAATTGCGAGAGGAAGAAGGCAAAGCGCAAATGGAGAAAGCATTTTGAAGATCGAAAGAGGCTGCCGACAAGGGGGAAGCAAGGGAAGCTCCGAGCACCCAAGATGACATGCATGATTCGCAAGCATGGCTTTGCCAGGCTTATATATACCCCAGCAGCCCAGCGTTCGATCCTGGAGAAAAAATGCTCCGAGGTCCTTTCCTAGCAATGACCCCATCGCGGGGCTTTGAAAAGTTGACGATCGACAGATCTTGTGAACAGACGAAGAAGCGTATTGACCCTACTTGGGGCGACTGCAAGAAAGCGTAGATCTGAAGTCGCGAAAGTCTTGTGAAAGGGATGCTGTTTTCCATTCACTTCCCCTAAAATAGACATGAGTAGTACCTGTTGAATACCACCATATAGCGGATTTACAGCGCAGGGACCAGAGAGATTTGTCAGACGAACAGGAAATTTGGCGCACTTGGCTGGTCCCCGCAATTACCCCACATTAAGCGATTGCCGATCCCCTTTTCGTCTTTTGATTCGAAAACGTGGAACTGATGGTCGGACGTACGTCGCGCTAAAGGGGCCTTTCCCTCTAGTCGGGGAAAGCGAGTTGTCCCGCAACTTGTTATGGAATTTCACACCAAAATTTCTTTCGCGAGGAACACAGACTGTCGGCCTCAGCTTCTTGAATGCTGGGTCGATTGTGTCTGGCTCGCATTTTTCAGGTTCTGTGCTGATTTCAGCGTTTGCCATGTCAGTCTAGCTATCGCCCGATTTGCACCTCTTCATCCCACCACTCATCAATAAATCCTTCGTCTCTCTTTCTTTCTGTCCAGAAGACGAGATTGCGGTACTGCCTGTACTGATTCCCGAACCCGTCAACCAAGCCAACTGGACTCCGCACTACGACTGACCCAAGAGGCTTTGCTCGAGAGCTTCCGTGGGTCTCAAACTTCATACTACTTCGTAAGTGTGCGACAGTGTCCAGGGTCCTGTTGATAGTCATCTGCTTATAATGGAACCACTTAGCAATGCCTGTAACTATTTCTTTGGCCAGTTTCAACAAATCTCCCTCCGTCGTTGAATCACGTTCGTGGCTGAGAACTTGTTCCACGAGGCACAGCTAATGCAACACTCAATTGATTTGAGTCTACACAACTGTATAGTATAGTAAGGTTACTGTTGCATGGCATATGGGCCCCCCCTACTGCCCTCTGCGTGCCGATCACACGTGTTCAGTGGCTTAGCTCCTGGGCATGTTTCACCACTATATAAGCTCCTCCGGAGCACCCAATTTATGCTTCAGAGAGAGCGCATTCTGCACCTGCGACAGTTACCAGAGAGGTTCTGTCGGCGATATGTGCGGCGCTGACATGCTGTGGCTTGGAGATCATTGCTATATTACCCGGCTTGAGCACTGGCCTTGTTACTATCGAGGAGGAGTTGCACGATTGCTTGATGGCCCCGAGATCTAGCAGCTTGAAGAGCATTACCATAGACTCCGCCTTGAGCATTGACTTCGGCTTTATTATCGAGGAGGAGCTGTACGGTTGCTTTATTGCCCCCAGGATTCCTTTCAGTAGATGTTTTTTATAATGGGCCTTCGGTATGCGGAGTACTCTACCCATACAGAGCGGCTCGCCGGGAACTGGCACTGTCTCTACACGAAGCGGTACTCAGATGCTCCTTGTCTCTATGAACCGGGCCCTAGGAGAGAACGTCTTGGCCTTAACGCTGGTATGCTACACTACCACTCTGCTTAGCAATCGAACAGACCTCCGGAGTATCTTAGGTTCGCCGTACCCCTCCTAGTCTAGCATGTCAAGTAAGTGGTTAGACAGTTACTGAAGAAGGATGCTCTACCCGAAGCTAAGAAGCTGTTCTGAAGACCTCTAGGTTAACCTGTTCCGGTAGTAGTCAACAGCGAATAAACACGTTTAATGTACTCTTAACGGCTGAGCTTGCTTAAACTACGATTTAGAGAGTTCTGGTTCGAGGGCAAGCACCTAATACAACGTTCTAGAACCAAGAATGTGCGGCTTTTCCGACTCTGTGCTCCCCAAGGTGTCCTAATAGAAGATGCAATGTCAGTCATGATAGGTTCATACGACCTAGTAACCCAGTCTAAAATACTTAAGGAACTACTATTGGTGATGAGACTTGCCGTTGGACTCTTTAGAAGTTGGTACGAGGTGTAACGGAGGCCACGCCCAGAAAACTCGCAATATCTCCCAAACGATAACTGTGGGGGACTAGAACTTGTTTACCTACCACTACCTTTGGCTCGTGAGGTGGTACGTAGAGCAACCCCGGTACGTTTTCAGCAGTTTCGTGACGAACTACGTCCCCGACAAAAACTTCGTCTTTTATTGTCGTTTACGTGTCGTGATCTCGCTCGTCGTCGGTTGCCCGTACTTCCTTATCAACCTAACGATGAATAATTCCCACGTCTGCAGTTGTTTGTCTGGCCTTTTTGACCTTTGCGAAATGTACCGCGACGACGTTTTCCCTCATCTCGTTATCACGTCGACGAAGAACTGTTGTTTCGACTGCAATTACGAGTTCCGCCTCCTATGCCGTTACGAGAAGTTCGGCGGCGTATACCCCCGTTAGTTCGTTGGCATGTCGAGGAGGAGCTATTATTTCGGCTTCAGTTACGAGTTCCGCCTCCTATGCCGTTGCGAGAAGTTCGACGGCGTAAACCCCCGTTATTTCGTTGGCATGTCGAGGAGGAGCTATTATTTCGACTGCAATTACGAGTTCCGCCTCCTATGCCGTTACGAGAAGTTCGGCGGCGTATACCCCCGATAGTTCATTAACATGTCGACGAGGAGCTATTATTTCGGCTTCAGTTACGAGTTCCGCCTCCTATGCCGTTGCGAGAAGTTCGACGGCGTAAACCCCCGTTAGTTCGTTGGCATGTCGAGGAGGAGCTATTATTTCGGCTTCAGTTACGAGTTCCGCCTCCTATGCCGTTGCGAGAAGTTCGACGGCGTAAACCCCCGTTATTTCGTTGGCATGTCGAGGAGGAGCTATTATTTCGGCTTCAGTTACGAGTTCCGCCTATGATGCCGTTACGAGAAGTTCGACGGCATACAT